TATTAACTAGCGTGCAGCAATCTACCCTCTCCTTGGCGCCCTCTTCCCCGACCGCTGGGAATCCCCCGTTTGCCGTCGATCAGCGGTCGCATTTTCGACGACGGCCCCCCCGAACAACCGATTAGCCCTCGTTTGGCTCTTCCAGTCCGACTTGAGATGATGGCGGCAGCGCTTGATCAACCATTCCCCGACTCGGTCGCCGGCGCCCCTGCGACCGAGGCAGCTTCGATTACCCCCCCTCACAGCGTCAACGGCAAGAAGGACGCCCCCGAAGGCGCGCTCTCCGACCTGTCCGACCTCGAGCTCGACCCCAATGCCGGTGGCGGCCCGGATGTTACGTCGGTCGAGGCGGAAGAAGAGGACATCGAGCCGGATCATTACTATGGCGGTGGCAAGGTCCCTGTGTTCAAACCGGTGAGCTTGGAATTCGCGTTTGAGGGGGAATACCCCTGTCCGGACACAGTTGACTGATTGGCCGTCGGAACCAGACCATGGACCAGTTTCGCGATTTCCAGCACTTCATCAAGAAGATCGAGAAATATGGTATGAAGTCGGGAATTGTGAAGGTCGTTCCTCCGAAAGAGTGGTATGTTGCGCGCTTCTCATCTATATAGGTCTACGCTAGATCCATCTCTAATCGCGCCTGTTTGCAGGAGCGATGCCCTACCACCCCTTGACGATGCAGTTAAGAAGATCCGCGTCAAGAATCCGATCATGCAGGAATTCCACGGCTCCCACGGTACCTACACCCAAGCGAACATCGAGAGACAACGGTCATACAACTTGCCACAATGGAAAGGACTATGCGAAGAAAGCAGCCACCAACCCCCCGCTCGTCGCGGCGAGCGGCGCCGGAACCAAGAGCGAGTCAATCGTGCGGCTCCGGCCCCTAAGTCTCAGACCGGTCGGTCGGAAACACAAAAGCGCCGACCTGGACCGGGGCGGCCTCCGAAGAGAGCGAACCAGGTCAAAGTGAAGGAGGAACCTCAGGCCGAAGAGGGAATCGACAAGACCAAGCTCGAAGGGCCCCCAACCCCCGTGTCGCCCGAATCGAACCCCGTCGAAGCGAAGACAGAGGAGTTGAGCGACGGCGAATCACTCCCCGCGACGAAGCCCAAGGGGCGACAGCCCAAATCGGTGACGGCGCGGCGAAAGAACAACAAGGGCGACGCGGTGGATTTTGTCGACGAGGAGGCCTTCAAGGACTTCGACTATCGCATCCACGACCATGGGGAGTACACTGCCGAACGATGCGAGGAGTTGGAGACCGCATACTGGAAGTCGCTCATGTTCAACAATCCGATGTACGGGGCGGATATGCCGGGCTCCCTGTTCGACGACAATATCACCCAAACGTGGAATGTCGCGAAACTGCCCAATCTGCTGGATGTTCTCGGTCAGAAGGTGCCCGGAGTGAACACCGCGTATCTATACTTGGGCATGTGGAAAGCAACCTTCGCCTGGCACCTGGAGGACGTGGATCTGTACAGTATCAACTATATCCACTTTGGTGCGCCCAAACAGTGGTATAGTATCTCGCAGGAGGATGCTCCCCGTTTCGAACAAGCCATGAAGAGTAAGTTGAGCCTGTGGGGGGGTAGTGAGGTGGTACCGGTACTGACAGGAATTCCAGGCATTTGGACTAGCGATGCAAAGAACTGCGATCAATTCCTCCGTCACAAAACTTACCTGGTGTCGCCGAGTCTCCTTAAATCTCAATATGGCATTACTGTCAACCGGCTAGTCCACTACGAGGGCGAGTTCGTCATTACCTACCCCTATGGGTACCATTCCGGGTACAATATCGGATACAATTGCGCTGAATCGGTCAACTTCGCGACGGAACAATGGCTGGACTACGCTCGAGTGGCCAAGAAGTGTCACTGCGAATCGGATAGTGTTTGGATCGATGTGGACGAGATTGAGCGCAAGTTGCGTGGCGAATCGACGCCCGAATATTACGGCGAATTCGAGAGCGACCTGGACGAAGTTGAGGGAGCTTCCGATCTTCTGACTCCCCCGCGCAGCGTTCCAGAAAAGACATCTACTCGCGGTCGCAAACGGAAGCACGATGGCGAAACAACCAAGACGAAACGCATCAAGGCTGGTTTCAACCTGGCGAAGAAACCCTGCCTCCTGTGCCCGAACGATATGGACCACGAGGATCTTCTCCCGACCGAAGATGGAAAGTCGCAGGTCCATCGGCGCTGTGCGCTGTATACCGAGGAGACCACCATTCTCCGTAACGGGTCCGACCAAGAGACGGTGTGTGACGTCGACAATATCCCCAAGGCTCGGATGGGTCTCAAGTGCCTGTACTGCCGCGAGGTGCGCGGGGCTTGTTTCCAGTGTAGCTTCGGTAAATGCACGCGGTCCTACCACGCCACCTGCGCCATCCTGGCTGGTGTGCAAGTAGAGGAGGGTCAGGTCGCGGTGGTCGCAGACGACGGGAACCAGTACTCCATCCCCAGTGTGGATCTCAAGTGCAAGTTCCATCGCCAGAAGCTTCCTGCGTGGATGGTGGGTCATGACTCGCCCGACAAGGACCGAAAACTGTTGGCGATGGCGCAGAGGCTGGGACCCCGGGAGCTGGTGCAGTTCCAGGCCGACAAGGAGATCAGTGGCACCGTGGTGGTGGAGAATCGACCAGAGGAGCGGGCGGCCCTAGTGAAAGTGCTTCCTCGAGGGTCAGTTAAACCAACCCCCTGCAAAGCTGTTTGGGATTTTCCCGTTCCGGAAATCCAAAACAAACACCTAAAACTGTACCTGATGCTGACCATGGTTCCAGGGATGTCATCGAACTACCGTACCGGTGGATGCTGTTTGTGCGCCGGAGCAACTTTGCAGCTCTGGCGCCCGGGATTGAACCACTGCCAGCGCATCTGGCGCGCAAGCCCGACAGTCGGAAAGAAGTGGACTCGGCCATGCCCGTGGCAGGAACACCATTTGGCGATGGGCGATCTCCATATCAGTGGGCCGAGTTCGAGACGGTCGATACGACTAATCACCACCTCGCCCCACCATCGTCGGGGCCAGTGGACATGAACAGGGGTGACCGGGTCTGGTATTACCTGGGCCAGTCGTCGACCGAATGTAGGGCTCAGTATACACACAACCCTAGCGTGTCCGTCCACAACCCGCGGTCGAATTTCCTAGACAGCGTTAAGTCTCTTGGCGCCGTGATGGGCCGGCTCCCCTCTTACCCCCACCACGTCCCGCCTCAACCTTCTGCTTCTCGGACTAGTCATAGTCACTATGCTGCCCCTCCTCCTCCTGTTCCTTCTGTTGTTGTTCCTCACCTCAACCACCTCCGACAATTCTACCCGCCCAACCACCCTCACCATCGCCTTTCGCCTGCTGCCCCCGCTGCTGCCGCCGCCGCCGCCGCCGCTGCTGCTGCTGCTGCTCCCGCCACTACTACGCCCACTACTACCACTACCACCACCACCGCCACCACCACCACCGCTGCTGCTGCACCTCTCTCCCGCCCTTCCCTACTGCAGCGCCCTTCTTTTGCCCCTCCTCCTCGTACTTCGTCGACCTCCTCCTCCTCCTCGCCTTCTGTCACCTCCGCCGCCCATTCTGCGATGCCGTCGGCCTATCGATCCTTGCCCACTCAATCTGCCCGCCATGCTCCATACCCATCGATTGCCAAGTCTCGTTTTCAACACCACCCCCACCAATCCCAGCAGCAGCAGCACCTCAACCACCTCAACCACCACCAACACCATACCCCGCAGCCGCAGCAGCAGAGCCACTCCTCCCTCCCGGCGAATACCTATGCCAATGTCCGAGAGCTTATCGCCCGTCGACGCCTGGTCCAGATCACCGAACATGCCAACGTGTTCGCCGGGTATACCATCGTTAGCCCAGAACTGGTCGTCGAGACCCTGTTGGGGCCGATGGGCTCCATGATGCCGTCCAATGGACTGGAGAAACTGGAGCTGGCCATGGCCCAACAGCGCGTGCAACCACGGGCCGCCGACGGCACCTTGCTGCCGCCGCAACCCCTCAACATGCGCTCGGAGGAAGTGACTCGGTTGCTGCAGATGCTTCGGTTCTCGGTGGTGAGTCATCGGGATCGGTTGGATGTGATCCAGAAGAAGGAGTCGGAGAATGCCCGGCAGGAGTCGGCCAGTCGGGGCACGGCGTTCTCTGGGCGGATGCCACGCAAGTATGCCTTCTTGGAACAGCAGCAGGAGCAGACGCCGACCGTCTACCAGTCCCCCTACGACATGCCGTCCGGCTTCACGGAATACGCACAGAAGACCTTCGGTCTGACGCCGTGCGAGCCCGAGCTCCCCAAGCCTTCCCTGGCGAACGACTACTTCGCCGGCTTGGCCCCCGAGGACCAGGAGAAAATCCTGAAGACGTGTGGCAGTTTCGTGCAGCGAGCGATCGAGCGGTCGGCGAGTCACAGCCGTCAGAGCTCCGCGTCCAACCTTCGCCTCGCGTCGGCTCTCGCCCAACAGACCGAAAACCCCACGATCGACATCACGACGGTCGAAGATCTCCCGTTTACGGGCCTAGACTTCCCGCTTCATGCCGATTCGCCCTGCTCTAATTTCAGCCGGTCGCATCTGCGGTTTCAGTCCCCCAATGACTTCCCCAGTCACGGCGGGGAAGTGCATCAGGACCACCACGATCTGTTCGGGGACCAACAAGCGAACACCCGGTTCTGGCAGCATGGGCCGTGGGCCGCTGGGGATGGCAACACGCCAAACGACGAAATGCGGCCGTTCTTTGGACCACACGAACGCCTCAAGCATGACTATGCGTCGTCCGACATTTCGTTAGGGCGTGGTCCAGGCTCTCTACATTCCGTTGATATGGCCGGGTTCGGGCTAGATGGGAACGACGACATCTGTGCCGTCCTTAGTCCCTGACGGTGTGGCAACCTTCTTTTTTCCTTTTTGATGTATTCGCAGGGTGGCATGATTGCATCCATCACTCGCATGTAACGATTTATCTGGATTGACGACAGCATGATTGGGCGTTTCTTCTTTTCTTTTCATTCCCAATTTTTTTTTTTTTTCACTTCATTTCGTTTTCGTCTCCGTCGTCTGGCTCTCCGTCGTGACTCTTTTGGCATTCTCCTGCCATGACTCCGGGGTGCCTTGGAATGTTGACTGGTTACGACGGGTTGACGTTGGTTAGTTCATCGACTCGACGCTCAGGACGAGAAAAGAACAAACCACTTTGGATTCGACGAGCCACGGACTGATCACGCATGTCCCGGTTCTTTGTTCTGGTCTACAACGAAAACGACAGCATCGTGATGACCGACTTGGGGAGCAGACGGCCCATCCAACCTTCAAATGGCGGTGGGAGCGCAGTCCGCCAGGTGGCATGCCAGCAGGGCAGCTTGGGGTTGATGCCCGGATTGCTCCACCCAACATCTAACTCCCACGTCACATTTCTTTCTTTTCCTTTTTTTCATGAGCAATCCTTCATCATCTCCCTTGATTTTATCTCCCTGTATCTTGTCCCCTTATTTCCCTCCTCCCACATTTTCCACCATCTTGCCTTCTTCCTCTTCACCCCCTTGTTTATGAGTGCATTCGCAGGGCTCCGATCCACGATCGGAGACAGACGGGGCCTACTTTCGCCCCTCGTGCCTGCGAGTCTGAACGTACTATAGAGAGATTCAACAAAAGAAAAAACAAACCAAACCAAAAGCCACACATAATTCCCCCTCAAAATACAGTTCTGCTTTGTTTACCTATCAATCAAAAATTTCGATTGTGCCCCCTATTCTCCTGTTTGATACCCCCCTTTTGAATTTCCTTCCCTATTTCAACTCGGTTGGATTTGTTTATAATCCCTCAACGGTCGTCTTATTCCACTGACACACGCACCCCTTCACCTCCTTTTCCTCTCTCCCTCGTGTCTCTCCTCCACAATGTGCTTGTTTCTACTGGCACTTCTCTTGATTTGGTCATGTCTGCCTTGTCCCTTCTCTATGAGACGGGCTGAACCAGGCTGGCTAACAATGGCAATGGCCACTGTTCGCAAATGGCAAATACAGTCGCATGATGTATGTAGAAGGAGAGCGATCAAAAACAAAAAAAAGCCTACTGATAGCTTTGAATGGACATTATTTGACCCAGACCTGAAGACCCCACTCTAATTGCAACTGTAGTCATATGCATTCTAGTAATATCATTTGAGTTGTTTGCGGGGGAAACCCCAGGGCCACGAGTAATGAATGGAATGGAATCTGTAACCCAATGTTATATCATGTATGGTTCAACCCCAGTTTCTCTCCTCGTATCCGCCCGTCCGTCCCTGACCGACCGTTTTCTTGTCTTCCCCGCAAGTTAAGTGGGCGGTTCGGTTCCACTTCACCGCGCGGACTGCGGAGGGGGGGCGCAAAGATGAAATGAACGAAATCGGAGATGGTGACGATGACTATGACGTTTTTTTATGGGGTTCAAGAATGGACTGAGGGGATGTACTCCATATGTGGTTGATGTCAGTTGTGGGGGTGGATTTAAATCAAATAAGACGAAATACCAAGTTACTTGGTTGGATGTGAGGTTAGATAGAAGTTACATTGTAGGACGAGAGAAAGATGTCCGGTCGGATCTGGAGAGGATTGATTGAGCCCCTTACATGTGTTGCACGGATCAGATTGATTGATTCTATTTTGGAGTCGACGGAATGATACATGGAGTATATAGGGCTAATGGTTGTTTTGATTTATTCTGTGAGGGTCAGTATTGGGATAAAGGGTTATCTTATAGAGTCAGTTCCATCGTGTAGATAACCATCTATCTAATCAATATACGAATGTATCAATGTTAAGAGGCGGGGAAGGAAAAGAGAGAGAGCCATGTGGATTCTGCACCCTCTTGTCTGCCAGGGCATTAAACAGGGACTGGTACGATATGACCCCACATATACCAAACCTCCGATACGTTATCAGCGCGCTCCGGGACCGCCGGCATTTGTTAAGGTCGGGGTATCCATTACTATCTATCTATCCTGATATCATTACCTACGTTAGTTACTACCCAGGTGGGTAAGGTAGGTAAGATATTACAGTATCTATGAGGAGAAGATCACCATTGGAGAAAGGTTACCTGGGTTTAGTCGCGTATTGAATCTCCGACGCTAGGGTCTTATCTATGGTCTGAGCATTCGTCTTACTAGTGTCTGGGGTAGTGTAGTATCATAGGATGGGTATGGTCGTAACTTTGAGTAGACGGAAGATACTGGATGGTACTTGCGTCAACGAAGGAGCGCCTGCGAAAACTAAGTCCCTTATCGGTACCGATGACCGCTGGTTAGTGTATTACTTAGGAGTGACCCTGCATGCATGATGGACTCTTTGGGTAGCTCCCCTCGTGATCCTTCAGTCACGTTTCTGACTCTGATCCCTTGCGCATTATATCCATTCAACTTTTCTTCCTCCTCCTCACCTCGCCTTTCGTCTGTCATCGGCATGACGCCCCATCCTCTCAGCTCTCCTCCCTGAATTGTGACCTTAACCTTGTTCCGAATCCAACAACATGGCTCCCGACCCCGAGCAACCCTCCGTCGCAGCCAACGCCGACGAGGCGTTGGCCCGCATGGGCTACCAGAGTGAATTGCCGCGCAATTTGAGCATGTTGAGTATTCTGGGTCTGTATGTCAACAACCGCTTCTACCTCCACCCTGTCAGAAACACCAATTGACCGATACAAGCTCCTTCGCCATCATCGCCGCCCCCTTCGGCCTCAGCACCACCCTCTACATCACCCTCATCGACGGCCAATCCGTGACCATCCTCTGGGGCTGGGTCTTCGTCACCCTCATCTCCATCGCCATCGCCGCCTCGCTGGCCGAGATCTGCGCCGTCTACCCCACGGCCGGCGGCGTCTACTACTGGAGCGCCATGCTGTCGACGAAAAAATGGGCCCCCATGATGTCCTTCATCGACGGCTGGGTCACCCTCGTCGGGAACTGGACCGTCACGCTTAGCATCACGTTCGCCGGCGGCCAGCTTATCCTCAGCGCTATCTCGCTGTGGAATGAGGATTTCGTCCCCAATGCCTGGCAGACTATTCTGACCTTCTGGGCTGTCATCCTCTGCTGTGCGGCTGTTAATATCTTCTTGTCGAAGTGGCTGGACCTTATTAACAAAGTTTGTATCTTTTGGACCGGGGCCAGTGTTATCATTATTTTGGTTACGCTGTTGACGATGGCGGAAGATCGGAGGGATGCTGAGTTCGTTTTTGGTCATTATGATGCGTCGGAGAGTGGATGGTGTGTTTTTCTCTTTTCTTTTCTTCTTCTCTTCTTTCTTCGTTTTTCTTTTATCCACTGGCTAACCCTTTAGGCCGGATGGCTGGGCTTTCTTCGTCGGCCTCCTACAGGCCTCGTATACCCTGACCGGGTATGGCATGGTGGCTGCCATGTGTGAAGAGGTGCAAAACCCCGAAAAAGAGGTCCCGAAAGCGATTGTGCTGTCTGTCGTCGCCGCTGGCGTTACCGGCGTGGTATACCTCATTCCCGTGCTATTCGTGTTGCCCTCGGTCAAGGCGCTCAACAATGTGGCCAGCGGACAACCCATTGGCCTCGTGTTTAAGACGGTCACCGGCTCGGCCGGCGGCGGCTTTGGCCTACTATTCCTGATTCTGGGGATCTTGGTGTTTGCGGGTATTGGCGCCCTGACGGCGGCCAGTCGATGCACCTACGCGTTTGCCCGGGATGGCGCCATCCCCGGATTCCGGCTCTGGCGCAAGGTGGACAAGCGCCTGGACGTGCCGCTGTGGTCCATCATCCTGTCGACCCTGGTGATTTGCCTGCTGGGACTGATCTACTTCGGATCGGAGGCCGCCTTCAACTCTTTTACCGGCGTCGCCACCCTGTGCCTGCTGATGTCGTATGGTCTCCCCATTTTGATCAGTGTCATCCGCGGACGCGAGGCTGTGAAGGAGTCGAGCTACTCCCTCGGGCGGTTTGGTTACGCCATCAACATTGCCAGTCTCTGCTGGATTGTGCTAGCCGTGGTCCTATTCTGCATGCCCGTGTCGTTGCCGGTGTCGCCCTCGTCCATGAACTACGCGAGTGTGGTGTTTGCTGGGTTTGCCTTGATCAGCATTACTTGGTATTTCGTCTACGCGCGCAAGCATTTCACCGGGCCTCCTGTCTCCGGCGACGACGTGCGAGGCGTGATGACTGGGAAAGACTTGGGAGAGGATGAGACGGTGATCGCGGAAGAGACTGAGAAACGATCCGTGAAGCAATGAAATATAGATTGAAATGAAATAGTGGATTTTCGGCGTTTGGGAATGATATACCACGTATTGATACTGTTATGGGGGGGTTCATTGATTTTTAGCTGTATTATGTATGTTGCGCAGAATAAAACAATTTATGTATATGAATGTACCTAGACAAGTAAGATTCAATATGTATTAAATGCAGTGGAGTGTAGTTCTTGAAGTGCATATCTGGGGAAGTCTCTCCAACCAGACGGGCACAGCCGGCGATCACAGGGCACCAGATGTCCGAGAACCGCGGCTCATCCGTTGTCATCGACCTAATCAATCACCGCAACTGATTCAATCCTGGCATTCAATTCAATCAATCAGCCAACAAACTCCACATTCATTTACTCATTCATCATCATCACTACAAACTCACCCCTCAAACCAGTTTATCCAACCCCTAATTCCTCATCTCAAACGCCACACTGGTACAATTACCATTCCCCTCCTACTCTATTATTATCATTGTGCTCTGGAGCCTCCCACTCTCATTGGGTTTTTTTCTTGTCATTTTTTTTTTCTCCCTTCTTCCCCGAAAGCGGAATCCGGGGAAGCTTTTTCGCCTCTCCTTGAACTCTACAATCCTTTCTTCAACACCCCTTTCGATCCTGTCCTCGTACACGTCACACCGTGTACCGTCGCCGGGTCGTCACCTCGAACCTCAACTGGTTGAACGCTTATGTGATTGATTGGATTGCCCTGTTGACCTCCATGAGGGTAACCCGTCGACCCCAATGCTTCGATACCACACTGAAGAGGCGCTCGCTCAGCCGAGGTTCCTAATGAGCATGTCGGACTCCGTGGGTATGTTTTTACTACTTTATTTTATTATCGCTATTGTTGTTTATTCTTTTGTTGTTCTTCTTTGTACTGTCTTTTTATCTTATTTTATTGTTCAATCCACTAATCTGACCTGGCAGATCGGGTCTTCGTCCACGCTTTGAATACCGTCAAACGCATCCCCCGAACCGGTACCGCACGACCCCCTGCGTCCGAACGACTGAAGCTCTATGGCTTGTACAAACAGAGCATGGGTATGGACTTGCATATTCCTGACACTCTCGAACTATACTGATGGACGACCACAGAGGGCGATGTGGAGGGAGTGATGGATCGGCCGATTGGGAACACCGCGGACGTCTACGCCGAATGTGAGAAATGGTGCGTTGGTGACCAAACGGGTGGATCGTCAGATTGGACGATAGATAACTGGGGACACCGCATACTGACTCGCCATTAGGGACGCATGGTTTGCCCAGAGCGGGCTATCTCGCACCGAAGCCAAACGACGATACATCTCAACCTTGATCGAGACGATGCACCAATACGCGTCGCAAACCCCCGAAGCATGCGAACTAGTCTCCGAACTCGAATTCGTCTGGGACCAGATCAAGTCCAACACGCCCCCGTCCACCGCGTCCAGTCCGCGACAGACCGTCGGGGTTCCGCCCCTGCCGCCCGCCAGCTACCCCAGCATCAACGATCGCCTGGCCCGATCCGACTACGAACATATGGTGACCGCCACCGCCCGCGGGGACTCGCGACTGCGCGTCCTCAGCCCCGTCAGCCAGCCCGAAGACATGTACCGACGCCGCGGGGGCGCTTCGCCCATGCGCGAGGACGAAATCGACGAGCAGGAGCGCGCGCTCGACGAAGAGGAGGAAGAGGAGTACGCCGAAGCACAAGATACCCTATACGACGATGACGACATCATCGACGACATCGTGCAAGTCCCCGACAACTACGACAGCGGGTCCACGAACCCAGAAGCCGACGAGGAAGAGTTCGAGCAGGAGCGTCCACCAGACGAAGAGTACGACGACGACGTCAGCAGCGCCCTACAGCGGCGGCGGTTGAATCACCACCCCCAGCACCCGCACCAGCAAATCCCGGATGTCGGCCACCCACGATGGCGTCGACGGGTCGAGCAGGCCTTGACTAGCATGACGGCTGAGATCGCCGCCGTCCGGGAACAGATGGAGTCGCGCGCGCTGGCCCAGCGCCGTCGCAATGCCCTCTGGACCTGGATCAAGTGGCTGGTGTGGGTGACGTTCCGACAGATCATCTGGGACCTGGCTGTGTTGGGGGCGATGCTGATCTGGATGAGGATGCGCGGTGACCGTCGACTCGAGCAGAAGCTCCGGGTGGGGTGGACCGAGGTGAAGACTCGATTGATGAGGTTGAAGTCGCTACGACAGGTGCCGAAATTATACACTTTTCCTTGATTTTTCTTTCCTCCCCTTCTCCTCCCTTCCCCACCCCCCTTAAATATCGATGTTCTTCGGTGTTCCGCTTTCGCTTCAGGTACATATTTGATTCATAGAAGAGGGGCACGACCCTGTTTGATCTGCCTCTCTCACTTTTTGCTGTTCGTCTTTTTGGTTTGGTATGGTCTTCCTCTTCCACTTTCATCCTTTTCTTTTCTACCCCCTTTTTCCTTTATCTTTTCTTTCTGTTTTCACAATTCATGATATCCTGCATGGAAGACAAGAAGAAGGCCCCCAGCCGGCCCGTTTCCTTTGTGATCTTGATCTTGATCTTGGTGTTTTTGTTTTATTCAAGTGGGTGTTCTTCGTGTTTGTTTTATTTGGTAGAGGCGAGCATGTGCATGCACTTTTGACTTTTCATTTTTTCATTTTTGTTTTGTTACTTCCTGTATTCTATGCATACATAGGTTGGTTCATATATAGATGGACGGAGAAATATCCATCAAATGTTCATTCACTTTTTCTATTCTCCTTTAGAGTTTTGGTCTTGTGTAAACGTATTTCATCTCTTTCCTTGGTTAGATACTATACTACTTTTTACTGGTGTATCTTGCGCAAGACAGTATGAGGAAGAATAGACATAGTAGACAAGAAAAGAAATAATAGTAGACGATCCAAACAACCATCGATTCCTAATGCTAATATATACACATACACAGACAGACACAAGACAAGACAACACGCACAGCCCGATCAATCAAAGGAACCAGCGCATTCCCTGAAGCAGAACCAAATCTAGACCGAACGAATTAAGAAAGGGGAAAAAAGATAGGAAAATCAACATAAAATACTGCCATAAAGCGTCCTGGCTTGTTATCTTTTTTTTTATCGTTTATTTTTTGTGGTAGAGGCTGGTTCACCATTGGGGACCGCTGTGCTGGGCGTACTTCTGCTTGGGGCGCAAGTGCACGGGGACGACGTTTTCGGGAGTGCCGGGGATGGTCTTTTTGAGGCCCTATACCATCATCATTAGTATTGATTTTATATGATGGAGCGCAGTTGAGGGGTGTATATCACTGGGACAACAGGGGAGAAAGAAGAAAGAAAGAAAGAACATACCAGCTTCTCAAACACGCAGCTATTCAGGTTCATCTCCGCCTTTCGGCACTCCCACAGACGGTGGTTGTTGTTCTCAAGACACTCCCAGTGCGCATTGAACTGCTGCAAGCAGTGGGTGTTGATATCCTTGATTCTGCATGATCAATGCTTGTCAGCCATCATCCATCCATCCATCCATCCATCCCATGTATAAACCACATATGTTGGGTTCCAATTCGTCCACCGGTAACTCCGGCAAGGTGAAAACATACACACTAGCCGCACAGCGCGTAACCTTCCGCCCTTCCTTCAGACACTCCAATTCCCCACGGCCGTTCGACTCCACCTTGCACTTCATGTAGTCGTCGTTGAAGGCCTTGCAGCGGTCGCCGATGAAGTAAGCCGCGCTGGTGAGCGGCGCCGACGTGGTTCCGATCTCCTCCACCTTGGGGATGTGGTCCGGCATCGGGGTCGTATCCACGAGGATCTGCTGGTTGAACCTGCATTGAGTGGTTAGATCGATGATTCTATCGGTGGAAGGGCGCTGGCTCTGTCCGAGCGGGCAGCATTGCAACGTACTGGGGCTCCCGGCGCGACATTGTGGCGGTTGGTGGGTGTCTATTTAACTTGAAAAGGGGGAATTGGAGAGATTGAGGGTGGTGTGGACCGTGAGGCTGTCGCTGTCGCTGTCGTCGTCGAAGGCCTCGGATGAATTGAGGGATTGAGGAATGAAGCGGGAGCTCAGGTTGGCTTGGTCAGGGCCGTTTTTGCCCGTCCGTGATTGGCTGTGGCTGCAGTGGTTATGTAAAACTGCATTTGTTGCCTGAGGCTGTGATGAAAGCAATGAGCTTCCGCCCACGTGACCGGCGAAAAACAAAGTGGTTGCTTTTGGGTCCATCACGAAACTCCCGTTGATGAGAGAGCTTCGTATCGCGGTGGTCTTGTCTTCTCTCTCTGGCGCGCGTGATTTTCTCCCTCATTTACGATTCACTTTCGACCTCCAATCATGCGGTGCTGAGACGTAACGAATCTCCCTTGTTGTTTAATTGATTTTGTCGGTCTGAAGACAGACAACCGTTTTTTGACCCGTTGACTTCCGTCGCGGAGCTATTCACTTTTTTCTTCTCTAAGACCGGACTGTCTCGACGTTGCCGGCGCAGCTCTCGTCCTACCGAATATCATCGATCCTGTTGACCCTGTCTGACTACCTACTCCCTCTTCGCCATGTCTCTCTTCGGCCAACCCCAGTCTGGCGGCATGTTTGGGGCAGCTGCCAATAAACCCAGCCCCTTTGGCGGCGCCGCCGGCGCCGGTGCCGGTGCTACCGGAGGTGGTCTCTTCGGACAAAACGCGACTACCGGAACCCAGCCTAGCGGAGGCAGTCCTTTCGGCTCATCCAATGCGACGCAGCAGCAGCAACCACAGCAGGGTGGTGGATTGTTTGGCGGCGGCGGCGCCTCGACGACGAATACGCAAACGGGTGGTGGTGGATTATTTGGGGGGGCGGCGGCTCAGCAAAAGCCAGCGGGCGGGGGTCTCTTCGGCGGCCTCGGCCAGACGCAGACACAGCAGCAACCTCAACAACCGCAGGCTGGAGGTGGGATGTTTGGTGGTGCCTTGGGACAGCAGAAACCGCAGGGAACGGGTATGTTTGGGGGCACATTAGGCGGGCAGCAGCAGCAGCAACCGCCGCAGCAGGGTGGTGGGATGTTCGGAGGGTTGGGTCAGACACAGCAGCAGCAACCGCAACAGCAGCAACAACCACAGCAACAGAGCTTGTTCGGAGGGTCGCTACTAGGCGGCCAGCAGCAACAGCAGCAACAACAGCAGCAGCAGCAGCAGCAGCCTCAGTTGGGCCAAACGATGGCTTCTCAGCAGCAAGGGTCGAGTCTGTGGTCGCCCGGTCGAGCCGTCACTGGAGGTTAGTCCCTGGGCCCCTGACAAAGAGTTGAACCGATGGGGTATTAAGCTGACTCGTAACAGTACATCGAACTGTCCCGATGCAAATTCAAATCGTCAAGGATAAATGGGAGGCCGTCAACCATACTTCCCCGTTCCGCACTTACCTGTATAACAACGTCGGCGAGGAGGCCGCACCCTTCTACCAACCGAGCGCGGAGGATGACGAGACCAAATGGGAAGATGCTTTGCGGAAGCGTCCCGCTCCCGGATACGTCCCCGTCCTGGTGAGGGGCTTCTTCGAGCTGGGCAAGCGGGCGCAGCGCCAGAAGGACTTCTTGTCCATGATGCAGACTCGTCTGCACGAAATCAACAACTGTCTATCGGACCTGCTCTCCCGCCACGACCTCAAAATCTCCGTCAAGATCGCCGACTGCCGACGGAAGCACCTGGTGCTGAGCAAACGCTGTCTGTCGCTAGCGGCCAAGACCCAGGTCCTGCGCAATCGAGGCTACGCCATGGACGATGCCGAGGAGGAGCTTAAGAAGAAGCTGACCCAGCTGGAGCGGTCGGTGTTCGACCCGTCGCTCGGGGGGCGTGCAGAGGAGATCTGGGCGCGGATGCTTGCCATTCGCGAACAATCCAAACGCCTACAGATGGAGATGGAGCGGGCTGGCCCGAGAGCGGCTGCCCAAGCGGACGACCAACTCGATGAAAATACCATGAAGACGGCGAAGAAGGTATGCTTTGACACAGCTGTCGCGACCTCTATGGCTTCTTGCTAACCGGCACAGATTCTCGACGACTACCACGCACAGATCCAGCACCTACAGAAGGAGCTCGTCTCAGTGAAGAAGGAATTCGAGGAGGCTGAAAAGCTAACTGGCGCGTAACTCGCGAACGGGTATTCCTCTGTAATGACCTGGACACTGCCTCGTCCTACGGTTGATTGACTGATCTATTGAATCCTACACGGAGCAAGGAGTTTTGGAGCTTGGTTGTGGACCTGAATCCGTGTGACGTGGCTTGCTTGAACAAACGGTCTTAACTTTCATACCATAATAGACAACTGCCTAGAAAAGCCCTGCCAAAACACGACCGACAAGAATCTGGGATGCGTTCAAGTATACAACAAAATGGTAATAATACAATCTATCATGATATATATCGGTCGAATGGGAGACGTAGCGATTCCCGGCCAGCGATAGATTCTAGCCGCTCGATCCTGTCCACACGCGCCCATTCACACCGACCGTCTCAACACATGGCGTAGCATAGTAACGTGAAACCTTTAAAGGAATTTGCGGACGAAATCGATGGCGAAGGGAGCTTCATCAACGGTAATATCGTTAGTTTGAGATTCTCTCATCGAATGTGGCGAGACAACATACACAGGTAGAGGAGGACGCTGCCGGTGACGGCCATGCGGACGGTCTGGTTGGCCAGCAGTTCACCCGCCTATTGTTTAGTTATTAGCGTTGGATTTCATGAGGCCCCCGGAAAGACTATTGAGAGCAATAGATCAGAGGGGAAGAAGATGGGAAGTCGTACGCGGATATCCTCCTTGGAGATCTGTTCTTGGCCTGTTCCATGTTAGCTGAGATATCCCAAATCAAACATCCACATATTGATAGAGTAACATACCAGGAGCGAACATTGTGACGTGTGTTGGATAGGATAGGATAGAAAAAGCGGATGGTATAAAAGTGACAGTGATAGCTGAAAGAAACACCGACGATGGCGAAAGTTCAATGAATGTTTGAAGAGGCTGCGATTCTGCCGCGCACAGACCAGGCGGTGTCGCGGCAAATGATGTTTCTTCCGGTCTATTAAGCCTGCCTCTCTTCCTGTGTCTTCCACCTCACTGCGCGCGTTTCTTCCTCATTGCTCTATTATCCCCCTGGGGTTCACACGTATCAGACTACCTATTGAATTGCGCGGCGGCTGTTGTCTGTCTGACTTATCTTGGTATCGGGAGATTTTGAGCCCGCGTTGTGACCCGCGGAGAACTCGCCGCATCATCTAATCTCACTTTATCACCGACTCCTTACTATCTATCATTTTCGCTTTCACTTCCTTAAACACCGTTACATCGATCCCATCGCCCACCGTCGAAATGTCCGCTAGTCCCGAACCCAAGACGGTGCCGGAGACCGCGCCCGACTCGGAGGAGCCCACCCAGGCCCCGACCCCTGGCGGTAACGATGAACAGGACGACGAAGAGCACGAAGAGAAGGTAGCTGCATCTGCGGAGCCTGCCTCCCCTCCCGCCGCCGCCGCCGCCGCCGTCGATAAGGAGGATGTCAACGAAAACGAGGAAGACGACGACAACGATGTCGAATCCGACGACGAATCCATCATCTCCGAAGTTGACGAAGCCCAGTTTGAGGACTTCGATCTCGAGAACGTCGATATCGAGGACCGTCCGCAGCTAGCCATCGACGAGGACAACCTGAAGCTGATCGGTCGGCATAAGCGCAAGCGCACGGACTCCGGTGGCGAGCGGTCGCAGCGGAAGCGCGAGGGTCGTCGCGAGAAGAAGACCCGACGGATGAAGGAGCTGGAGGAGGGCCCGACTAGTGATGGGGAGGGTAGGACTAGGCGCAAGGTTGAGCGGAAGAAGAAGGAGGTCGCGCCGGAGGATGATGAAACGCTGGACCCTGCTACGCGTATGTTCTTTCTTTCTTTACAGGTTGATGGTTTCCCTGGTGGCGAGATGGCTAATTTGTACAGGTCGTCGTCGAGCTTTGGATCGTGCGATGGACGAAGCGTTGAAGAAGCCGACTAAGAGACGTGCCCGCAAGGCTGATGGCATTGTATGTTCTCTTTCCATACTCTTTCCATACATTTGATTGTCCCCAACTAATTATCTAGGATTTGGAACAAATGGCCGACGCGGAGATCGAAGATATGCGCCGTCGCATGACCAACGCAGCGCAGATGGACGCCGAAAACCGACGTGAGGGTAAACCCGCCATGCACAAGCTTAAGATGCTGCCCGAGGTGGTGTCGCTGTTGAATCGCAACCAGTATGTCAACAGTCTGGTCGATCCGGAAATCAACCTGCTGGAGGCCGTGAAATTCTTTTTGGAACCGCTGGATGACGGTTCGCTGCCGGCCTACAATATCCAGCGGGATTTGATCGGTGCGCTGGGCCGCCTTCCGATCAACAAGGAGGCTCTCATCGCCAGTGGCATTGGCAAGGTTATTGTCTTCTACACGCGCAGCAAGCGCCCCGAGCCGGGCATCAAGCGCCAGGCGGAGCGTCTCCTCGCTGAATGGACTCGCCCGATCCTCCAGCGAAGTGATGACTACTCGAAGCGGGTGTACCAGGAGGCCGCTTTTGATCCTACGTATGTTGCATGCTCAACCCCGCCAGATTTAGTTCTGCCGATGCTAACCGATCCCCCAGAAAACTCACTTCCCGGACCCAATCGGCGCAGGCAACGGCTGCCGAAGCGCGTGCGCGCGAACTGCTCCCCCCGCGTCTGGCCAACCGTGCGCGGGCCGATATCACGCACACCAGTTATACGGTGGTGCCGCGACCGACGATGGTACAGGAAAGCAAGTTTGCGCGACCTCTGGGCGCCAGCGGAGAGGATCGATTCCGGAAGATGCGGGCGCGCCAAATTGCGGCTTCCAAGAACAGTCGGCAGAGGTAGATATTGGATTGGAGATTGTGTCATTAGAAATATTGGTGTCGTGGAGGGGGCGTTCTGGCGTGTCTTTTGAAACATGGATCGTAACTGTGCATGAATGGGTCGTATTGCAATATTCGCACTAGTATTTGAACATAGCATGTTGATTATCAATTTTCCATGAAAAATCAAGTAAACGAAAGTAGAAACAAACTCCTTTACTGGCTATTATTAGGATTGCATGTCCAAGTATGGCACCACCACAGCGCAAGCAAACACCGAACTATGGCCGGCAGATACCGGGCCGACGTCATCGGGCTTTGCTCGTTCCGTCTTGCTTCCGTTCGCCATTCAACCTCTTGATTTTTCGATGACTCTTACTCCCAACAACTTCTGGTTCGTATAAATCCAGAATTCATTCCTCAATCCACCTGGACCCTTTGTTTTTCACTATACACTACATCAATTCAGTGTTGAAACACACCCCCACCACCCTTAATCCATCACCATGAAGATCCTGACCAAGGCAGAAGAGGATGCTCACTACCGGTAAGCAGCGAACCGCCACCCCGCCACCTGTCGAATTCAATCCACGATCGCAATATGGCAGCCATGGTGTCTTTTCCTCAAGCTAACAACCGAAACAGAGAGGTCGTCAAAGGCGGCACGATCGGCACAATCCTCGGCCTCATCGGCGGCGGCGCAGGCGTACTGGCCGCAGCCCGCCGCTACCCCACAATCCGCAACCTCACCATCCCCATGAAAGCCTTCCTGGTCACCTCGTCCGGTACCTTCGTGGGTATCGTGGCAGCGGATCACGCCTCGCGGGCGTACGAAGCCGAGCGCAACCAGACCGTCCAGTGGTACGAGAACCGCGAGCAACGGCTCCGCGATAAGGAGCTCTCGAGCCTGTCGTTCGTCGACCGCACAGTGGCGTGGGCGAAGCGCGAGAAGTACAAGATTGTGGGCGCGACGTGGATTGCGTCGATGATTGGGTCGTTCGCGCTTGTCGGCCGGAACCCGTACCTCTCGGGTCAGCAGAAGCTTGTCCAGGCTCGTGTGTATGCGCAGGGCTTGACGCTCGCCGTGCTGGTTGCTTCGGCGGGCTTTGAGATCGCTGATCAGAAGAAGGGGAAGGGCATCCTTGATGCGAAGAAGAAGGCTGAGGCTGCTGAGAAGGGCCAGAAGGCTGTTGAGGTTGCTCAGCCTGAAAAGGAGCAGAGCGGCGATCTGTGGAAGGATATGGTCGCTGCTGAGGAGGAGAGACTGAAGAACAAGCATGTGGATCTTTACGAACATCATGAGAAGCAGAAGGACGCCAAGGAGCAGGCTGGTGAGGGCGCCAAGGAGCAGGCCCAGGCCCCCGCTAAGGCGGAGGGCAAGAAGGAAGCGTGAAGCTTGATGACGGATTAAAAAGTCTCATTGGGTTTTACTCGGATGGTGCATGGTGTTGACTCCCCCTTGTTTTTACTTTCTTTAATCATGGCTGGTCCATACGTTGATTACATGCGGTGGATCTGCCTCTTTCCATTGTGTTGTTTATTGTGATGTATATTGCGGTTATCTCGCCGCTCTCTCCCCTATCATTCGTGTACATGATCTCTCGCTTTGGGTCTGTGTCCTTTTGTCTATATCTTGGTGTTGTTATACATTCACATAATACATATTAGATGTTTGAATATGGCGTGTTTGGAATTGACGTCAGTAGCAGTCCTATGGAGGATTATCGTACAAATGAGAGGCGGTGGAAGCAAAAATCAAGCCGTAGATCTCAAGTAACAATGAGCATTGATCCCGCATTCGAGTTACATCATCGCCCACCAAGAAAGGCTTGATTTCATTAGCCTACATGCCTGATCGTCAGCCGTTCACCTGGTGGGGTTGAAATCACAGACTGGTGATGAAAGACACTATACGTCACTCTGGGGTTATAAGCTTCCTGGTTTCCACATAGACTCTTGGCCTCCACCGCATGGTAGAACCATCCATGAACCGAGTCAAAATAAACAATCCAGTCGGAGATCAATTGGCATACATCATAAATATGCCATCCGGAGTCGATCTGCGCTATCATTGCCCCGCTCATTTAGAGCTAAGCTGCGTACTAGGTAGAGATCCTGCACGTCTCCCACCAATGAGGCGCAGCGCTTCCTGGGGCTGACAAGGGCCGACAAGCTAGGATGAAAAGATCCTTGGACTTCCCGACCTTCCAAACGCCTCCTCAGCTGACAAGAAGGGGATAAACCATGTGGGCAATGGACAGAAAAGTCCCCCAGCAGCATACGCTTTCCCTTCCCGTGGACGACGACAGCGTCGATCGGTTAATGCAAGCCGCTCTGCACGGCCACACCCACATCGCGAAAACCTTGCTTTACGGCGTCTCGGCCGACATTAGAGACCGGACAGGCCGGACACCGCTATCATGGATTGCGTCGTACGATCTGACCGCTAGGCCGGGGGACCGCGTCATCCCTGAGCAGTTTGTGCGGTTTATCCTGGGGAAAGGCGCTGACCCGAATCTGGGAGACCTCCACGGCGAGACGCCGCTGCATTGGGCGGCCAAGGCCGGCGATGATGGAATGGTAGATCTGCTCCTGCAGAACGGGATCCATTCCGATCTGGCGGACTTGCGTGGCCGCACGCCGTTGTCGCGCGCGGCGGAGCGTGGCCATTCCGCGGTGGTCAAGCTGCTCTTGACGACGGGCCGGGCGGACGCGGACAGCAAAGACGCCAGAGGACGGACACCATTGTCGTGGGCAGCGGAGACCAGACGCTTGGAGACCGCGCAGATCCTGCTCGACCACGGCGCCAGTGTAGACATTCAGGACCACGAAGGGCAGATCCCGCTGTGGTGGTTTATCAGCAATGCAGTCACCGTCCGTGCTGCGGATGAACAATCGGCCACATCGCCGGGGGACTTCCAGCAATGGCTGAACCTCCTGGGGTCCAACCATGGAGTTGAGCCGCTGACAAAAGCGCGTCGTACGTTTCTCTCATGGGCCTGTGAGCGAGGCGATAAGAAGCTAGTCGAGCATCTCCTGCGGACGACCTGGGCCGACCCGAACACCGTCGATCGGTACCGGAAGACGCCGCTGATCTACGCGCTGGAATGGGACCACTATGACATCGTCGAATTGCTTCTCTCTGGGGTTGCCGAGTCTGTCACGAGACGAAGGGATATAGTGTCGCTTCGGATTATGGTCCAAGAGGGGCGGTCCCGGATCCTCAAGTCGTTCCTCGAGCGCTTCAAGCCGAGTCTCGAGGAGGAGGATGAGTACGGCTCCTTTTCACTAATAAGAATGGCGTTGAGCCAAGGGGACCGCACGACGGTTACGGTCCTTTTAGAGCACAAGGCTACCATCGAGTGTCTCGAGAACGCCGACTGGTTTGGGCCCTGCAGTACAACCAATCCGGCCACGGATTTGGTTCCTCTCAAGACAGGGCACGTAGAGAACATCCAGCACTCCGTTCCCGTGATGGACATGACAATCAAGGATGCCGACCGCGGCGCAATTGCCACTCTGCTGCGCCAGCGTGCCAAGTTATTGCAACTCAAAGAGGACGACGAAGAAGGCTACGGCATTGGACACAACAGGAAGCAGGGCAGAGCAAGCACGGCCGTCTACATCACGGCTTTACGCGACGGGCGGAAAAAGGCGCGGTGGATCTTGAATAACTTCGTGGACCGCGAAGTTCGTGCCTTGCCCCGGGTGACGGAGGAGACGCACTTGATGTCAGTAACGCTCTTCCTAGCCGGTAGACTGTACTGATCCGAACAGACTCTTCCGAGAGAATTACGTGTGGAACACGTACTCCCAGATGGATCATTCGCCGAACCAGCTATTCTACTCTCTCGGACACAGGGGCCCCTGCAGAACGTTTACCCTGTCCATCCGGGGAGACGTTAAGATGCAGAGGGTTCTACCGCGGCGATATGACGCAGACGGCTATACCAGATACGAGGACCACGCTACCCGCACCGTCGAGTGGGTAGTCCTAGAAGCGCCTCTCAAAACAATCCACTACTTCAGCAACTTGCCCTACGGCTGGATCCCGCAGAACGACGTCGAGCTGGTCCAATTATTCATGCAAACCCTGAGAGACGACTGGATGGCGTTCTGTCAGGATGCGCGCAACAGCATGGGAGAACTTGTAAGACCACCGTCTAGAGAATGAAGAGTAGAGTATCGCTGACTAGTCGACTAGCGATCCCACCAGCTGACAGCGCGCGGCAAAGACGACGTCCTGATAGACACCGTAGCGGAGAGTATGCTCCAGTGGACGCACATCCAGGGCATCCTCACGGAGCAGCTCAGCCAGGCACGGAGTTTTGTCTCCCAGTATCAGCGATTCAGCGAGACGCGAGGGTTCAACGAGAAAATAAGCAAGATAATCGATGCGCTTGACCAAGACGTCACGACGCAGATTGAGAAGCTGGAGCAGACAGTCCGCGATCTCCTCCAGATAGTGAGTTTCCCCCCATATGCTTCTATGTTTACGGTTTTCTAACGACAGGATAGGAATTTGCATGGGTTACCATCAACGAAGCTCATCGGTCGACAAGTCTAGCGGCTAGCTTGCAGCGGCTCAGCTGGATCACGTTTATTTTTCTGCCACTTATGTTTGCGTCGGTTTGTTCTCTCCCCTTTCTTTACCCCATATTGCCATGTCTAATATGACGTGTAGAGTCTCTTCGGAATGAACGTAGACGTCCTCAAGAACGACCCCAGCTGGCGCTGGTATCCCCTCGTGGGAGGCGTACTGCTCCTACTCACACTGGTAGTATGGATATCGTCAAAATTCACCAATGTAAGTGACTGAAACCCCCCCCCCCCCCCAAATGTTCAAATACCCTATTAAACACCATCGTAGGTGGATCAGATAGAACACAAGACAAGAGCCATAGCAAAACGATCAATGCTCCGGCTGCGTCCTGTCAAGAAGGATTTTACCACGCAGAAGACAGGCTGGTTATGACACATCACATAGTAGTACAGCTAGACACTATAGACTACCAATAGATCTAGTAAACCACCCAAGGCACGTTCACCCAACAAAATGACCTTAAATGCATTTCCAACCCATCACATCAACACGTTAAAGAATCACGTCCCCATTGGACAGTCAGTCCAAAGTGGATTTTCGCGATTGCTTGCGGTTTGGGTTGGGGAGTGACTGGGGATGTTGGGGGGAGTGATCTAGGCTTGTCTGGCCTGGATTTCAATTCAGGTTGGATCAGATTAGATCGGACATTGGCATTGAATGGTAGACATGTCAGCGTGGCTGAGACTAGTGTCTATTAGACGAGGCTGAAATGTATATTCGTGGTTGCTCATAGTCCAGGATTGTATAGTCGGGTACCTCCCACCTAGTGTGTGAACATGGGCCAAAGCAGACATACTTGGATATTATGAGAGTGGGATAGATACAACCAATATCATTACAGTGTTTCTCAAGTGAGTAGAGGGTTTAGAGCCCATCATATTCTAAGAAAGATCAATTATTCTCAATTTAAACTAAATAGCTAAGAGGAAAGGAAGAGCGGAGAACAGATGTCATGGTCAACACATGGTTACGTCTTGGTTGGGGAGTTAGCCTGCGGTCTTTTCATACTTGCTCCAATATTATTCTTCGAAGTGTAGAGTTAAAGTCAAGTATACTGCCCTTTTTTTATGCTTCGAACGGATTCATACTGATATCACAGGATAGAAGCATAGTGGAGAAATCATTTTATAGTACTATGTCATGGCTGTGGCGACGGGACATAGAACAATTTGCCAACCATATCTAGAAGTTTATTTGGGTATTTGTCTTGAATAGAAGGGATGGTAGTGCTGATCACACATTTTATTAATGTTGTTGCCTTTTGAGTGCACATAGCGATATAGATGATTGTCAGATCTTCCAACTCTAGCATGTCATGTTCCATTGAGGTGACACACTGGGGCTACTATTGTTTTGCTCAGTGGTTGTTCAATATGCCCAGGGCGTGCTCAATTGATTCAATTGATTCAGTAAAAACAGCGAGAGTTAGATACAAAGATGCAAAAAGAGCGTTTGACATATCTGAAAATGCAGTACATGTATATGTACATCAACTATAGGTGAACTCCGATAATGAAACATAGAACGCAGCGACCTTAATTAAACACATAACCGTCCGGTAAAATATGATGACACAACGCTATGGGCCCTATTGGGAAACTTGGTCACACTGAATACCGCCGAGGTATCCACTCACGGCTTCTGTCCGTAGACCAGATAGAGTTTCCCGTACTGATGAACGGACGTATCCCGGAGTTCCTTCTTCGCATGGGCCACCAGAACGGCAACTTCGTTAGACGACCAGCCCAGAACTTTGGTCAGAAGCTCCGGCGCATACGACTGGATGCCCTGTGCCTGCTGGACCTGGAAGAATCTGCCAATCTCCTTTTGCTTGGGGTCTTTGGGCCAGGGGTTGAACGGGACCTTGACGACTCTGCAGTTCACATCCTTGAAGCCCGCTTTGGCCAGTTCCTCGGGCCAGCTGTCCATCTCGGCCATGGGTTTTCCGAATTTGGCGCTCGCCTCTTGCAGCAGGGAGACCAATTGCTTGGTGTAGGGCGCCTTGTCGAGGGTGCCGTCGTCCGAGAAGACCTCGATGCGGAAGCTCTGCACTTCGAAGTAGCCACCGGGTTTCAGATTCGCGTAGGCTTGTTTAGTAAGGCGGCCGAAGTTGCTTACAGCGCCCGCAAGCTCACGGCCGTGGATGTAGTCGAAAGGGCGCGAATATGTCCACTCGGCTTCGAAATCGTCCACTTCGAACTGGCAGTTGGGAGGGGTCCTTCAACCGCTGGGTTAGCGACCTGAGAGCTAGCGATCATAATTCCTTTCTCACCATTTCGGTTGGATTGCGCTAAGGTCGTTTCCTTTCGGAAAAGTTAGATCGACAAATGTCTGATTTGGAAGAAGCACCAGACTCACCGGTCACATCGGCAGATGCATAATGGCTACAGGTCGATTAACGGTGTTAGTTGGCTGCTGAACTGTCGGGAGGGGTATATTTGCGTACTCGGCAAAGTCCACTGCCCAGATGCCCGTGCCCGTGCCCAGATCTAATACGCGTTGAGGATGCTCGCCGATCGGGGCGGAGTGGAGCTGGCCGTCGAGCACGAGGTTATAAATATGGTGGAGTAAGTCCATTCGGTCTTGCTCTTCCTCATCATTTGGCTGTCCTGCATTAGTAATCGATCTGCGTGGGTATGAGACAAAGAACTGGCTAGGCTTACAAGGACGTAGGAGCCTGCTTGGTAGGCATGGTACCTCCGGCCGTTCTAGATCGTCATTGTCAGTATAAGGCGTCCGTACGCGGGAGATGGTATGACAAGAGTATACCTTATACCTAGTCGATATCAATATTAGTTTAGTTGTGATCCATCAACTCGATCAGGTCAGAAGTCTGGTGAAAACTGGACGCACTCATAATTTAAGATGCTGGACGAAATCGAGGTCAAATCTGACTCGACCGTGTAGATCGAATCTCCGTCGCTATTCTCTGGGGTACTCTTGGGCGACGTCAGGTTATGCGACTTGATCACGCGGTACCAGGGAGACGGTGAGATTAGGACATACATCGGCCAGGATGGCTGGATCAACGGTCCGGTGGATATCTTGAGACATGGTTTTAATATGTCTGGGGAGTGAGTTCAGTAAGGGTTGCAGAAATAGGAATAAAATAAAAATAAAGATAAAGAGAGAAAAATGGTTCCCTTACAAAGACACCCTTCGAGTCAAAAAAAAAGCCGAATGAGAATATCAGAGATGACAGCCGCGTGGATATCAGTCCCAACAGACCCTGGCTCGGTTCACGATCAATGAAGATGGAGACAATGAGAATGGACAGCACGGGGTAAGAGTGGAAAGTAAGTTGTGGGAGGGACCAGGGAACGGAAGAGAGGAGGGGTGGGGAACCATGACAAGGTGACCCACCCAGCTCTGATCCGGATCCAATAGTACCTTCTCTCAACTCCCCACAACTTCCCGTCCCGAACCCCCGTCAGTACGGCAGTTCATTTACATCCATGTCACCTGCCAACTGAGCGGAGCAAGGTTTCCAACTACATGCACTTTGTGGTCCAATTCTAAACTGAGACCGGAGTACAAGACACGGGAGTGGAGATCTTTGATCTCCCGCAAGGCATACACAGCTCCCTGACTTTAAGTCTCTCGAGTGTTCCATTGTTTCGGGTGATTACTCGATCGGACGCCACAAGGCGTTTTAATGCCAATAATAGAGTGGCTCCTGTTCTAAAATGATGAGTACTAATGTGACGACAAATCCCTATGGAGTACATTTTCTTCGTCGCAGGTTGGTTCATCCCACGATACGAAGGCACGTCCCTAACATACACCAAGGGGGAAGGGAAAGGACCATAATGCAACCTCACGGTTGATCTTGGGATTCTATAGCGGTAGAGAAGAATAGAGGAACATATTTGCAAAACCAGAAGATGTTTCCTTCTTGTACACCTGCACAACCACAACAAGGAATTAAGGATCGTAGGCACAAACACACCTCACCCGGCCAATAATCCAAATCCAGTCAGTATACAACGAAGCTTTCCATCCTCTCCCTTTCCCGGGCGACCCTCGTAACCACGGTTGTGGACCAGCCATGCATGGTCTGTCACTTCTATATCTTATCCTCCCTTCGCCAGGAACGCGGTTATCTTTCCATATCAACGTGGTTGATAATCTCGAGTGTTTCCATACATGCTGAATGAGTTGTGTCTGCAGGAAGTTTGCGCGAATGGTGCTAGGCACTGTGACATTAGCCGTATAGAGTTGAAATGCGCGTGTACCAGCAAAGAATTCCAGAGTGACGTTTGAGAGTGTATGGAGCCCCGTTATCCCGAGGGAGTGGAGGAGTGGAAGGTAAGATGCTCTTTGCCTTGGATTGAGTGGCATTTCTTTGATAAATTATCTCTTTTATATCTATCATTTTGGACCTTGTATAGTAATACTAACAATATATAAACCAGAGTGTCGAAACCTTCTCGATAATATGTGCAAGAATACGAAATAGAGCCAGCCGTCTATTCTGGTGGACAAGTGGAACTCGAGTGTTCCTTGGTGATGCTTTCTATGTAGATCACCTACTATAAGCCTGTATCCTCTTCAGTAGAGAAAGACATGGTTACAATCTTTCCGATGCAGTGTCTATCTGATGCCGCTTGTTATAGTGCCTTAAACATGATTCTATATCCACCACGTCCCTCAAAGACTAACAGAATGGTTTGCGCTTTTGCAACTACAGTATTGACCAGTTGAACCAGCGCAGATGAATTCAAGACAAGGTTCTCTACTTGCATTGCCAATGCAATTGATGCATTCAGCAGTGACGTAACGGCATAGCTACGACCCGCAGCGCAGAGAATCTCCGCGTGCGAGAATATACAGGAGTGTCTGGGGATATCAAGCTTCCTTGCTTGGCACAATTGTCCATCTTAGAGAAGTGGTATGCTCGGTATGTCCGAGAGTGCAAGATGATGTTTGTCCACATTTTCAGCTGAACTCTATCAGTTACACAATGCAAGGGGCTGTCCCTGACATACGCCAGGGGGTAGGGTATATGAAATCATAGTGTAGCCCCACGATTAATCCTTGGTATTTGACAACGGGAAACAGAGAAAGGGGAAAGATATATAAACCAGGTGCTAGTCTTGATTCCCTCGTGGGTACTTCAACAATCATCCAAATTCCAAGTCCAAAGCATACTATTACCTCACACACTCAATTATCCAGGCCCTGTCTAAGCAAGAACAATAAGAAGAAAATGAAGCTCTCCATCCTCTCCCTCCCCCTGGTGACCCTCGTGGCCACGGTCCTGGCCCAGAAACCTTCCAAATGCGTCGTACGTCATTCCCTCATATTATACTCCCTTCGCCATGACTAGGCACATAGTCACCCATCCACGCCGAGATAGTCAATGTTCAAGAGTCTACACATACTGAAAGAAATCCGCCCACAGGAAACCTGCTCCAGCAATGCCGGACCTTGCGACTTCAAAAAGCTTGACATCGGCTGCATGTGCAGCAACGCGGACTTCCAGGCCCAGGTCCGCGACTGCATTCACAGGGACTGTCCTGATCAGCTCAAAGGTAAGAGTGTCTTTGCTTCTGGTTTCGATTTTACTCTCCGTTGATAGACCGTCTCTCATATTGTTGCTCTATCACTCTTAATCTTCACTTATAACAACGCTGACCATATACAATCCAGACGCCGAGAGCCTGCAGCACAGCGTCTGTGGCTAGACCTGTCTTTTCTAAATTGGTTGGATAAAAAATTTCTTGGTTTCTTTCTACAGGGATGGGTGTGGACTGGTATCTTCCAATGGAGAGAAAGACGTGGTTGTTATCTATCCCACCTCGCTCGTTCCAGTGCTCTTGAATATATGATCTGTATCCCATACAATGGGGTCTGTTGAAGAACAGTCGAATGGTTTACACTCGCAGTCTGAATACCTATCCCATTCAAATAAAGTAGCTCAAATCCAGAATATATTTCGGTATACAATTCAATGGGCTCAGTGATTTCAAGGTAGTATATACAACAGTGAATGCCTATACTTCGTACTAAAGATATAAACCAACATAAGTTCTTCATGTCAACAACGGTATATAATACATCTCCATGTTAAATCAATCCCATGATCTCACCGTTCCCACTCTTCCAACAGCTTCGTATCCAAAGAAGCATACCCCTCCACCACACGGAGTCCCCGCAATCTCTCCTCCTCGATCCGCTCCCACGTCCACTCATCCGCATCCCACGACTCAGTATTCTCCGTGCGTTCCTTCTCCAGCGTAGCCCGCTCAGGAATATCGCCCTCCTTCATCTGCAGCACCTCGCGAACCAACGACCCATCCACACCCGCCGCAGAAGCCGTAATGCCCTCACCCGCGGGCGTGCCCACACCAGACACCTCCGCCGAAGACTCAGCAGGCGTCTCAGCCGCGACACCCTCAGGCCGCGGCGGGAGAAAGCCACTCGCACGCATGACCCGCTCCGGCGAAACAGTCAACCGGCCCTTCTTAGCAACGTACTTGCTAAGCGCAGTAGCGAAAAGGACCCGCTGGCCGCCCTTGCGCGGCGCCGGCCGCAGGAAAAAGCTCATGACATACATCCACTTCTGGTCCCAGGCGATGGTCTTGGACTCGATCTCGTACTTCTCGAAGGGCTTGATCTCGCGCTTAAAGTTGCAGTACACCGACCCCAGCGCGATGTACATGGCCTTGGACGCAGGCGGCTTCTTGCCCTCCTTGCGGGCGGCGGCTGCGAACTCCGCGTCGAGCTCCTTGCTTACTAGACCCACGCCGGGGGAGTACAGTCTTGTAACGAGTGCTGTGCGCGCGACGTCTAGGTCTGAGAAGTAGGTGCTGTTGGATTTGTGGAAGTTGTAGTCTGTTTCCCACATGGGTGTGCGCGATGTGATCCCGAAGGCTGTGAAGACTGGGTGTGTTGGTTTGCCTGTGTGTGTGGCAATGGCTGTGCCTTTGGGGAAGTATGGATGGTCGGTCTTCCATCGGATGTTGCCCCAGAAGTGGCGGAGGATGCGAAGCTGGCGCATGTTAACATACTATTGTTCATCCGTCCCCGTCCCCGCCCCTGCCCCCTCCCCCTGGCATACTCGGGGTATGTTTCACGTCATACTTACATGCCAGATGAATGGAAGGTTTTTCAGGTTGACAATGGCCAATAGTAGCGTCAGCGTCTTCCAGGGGATGGACGCCGATGCGCTTGATAGCAGCTCGCGCACGCTATCGATGTGGGAGGTCGTCACCATGATCGGGCAAGAGTACACGTTTGCTTTTATAATACAAAGGAGGGTATCTCAACGGCAAGGGCTGATATTAACGAATATGTATAATCGGAATTCACGAGTCCAACAAATAGAAATCAAGATAAAAGGAGCGTCTGATCGGAGGGGCTACAGTAACCCTCTCCACGACAATATTTAAACACAATTGAAGGCTACACGTCACAACTTATGAAAGGGTAAACGAAAGATATAACGAGCGACTGCGACAGACTAAAAAAAGGTGGATGAAGTGGGGGAGATTATGTAGATCGACCGGGGAGAGGAATCAGATGGGCTGAACAGATCCAAAATGTTGGGACTGGGACAACCGAGGCCCGACCAGCGTCACGTGTTGATAATCCCGCTCTCTATCTTGTCGGATGAGACAAGGATATTGAGCCAAACACCGGGACTTGAAGTATCAGATTCAAAGTCAAAAAGATAACCGACGTCCTGAGCTTTGCATGCTGTCCTCATCAGCTCGCCCGGCCTGAAGATCTTCGCAAGCGGGAATCCTGAGCTAGCGCGTGGTGTGTATGGCGTCAGTTGCATTGCAGGCGTAGACTCGTTCACTCATCTGGATCGACTTTGCGACGCGTCTGGGTTTGAACCTGCCGCGTGAATGCGGAGTAGTTGTGGACGATGATGGAAAAGACCATGATTGTGCGGGATCTCGAATTTTAGAGGCGTGCGCTTTCCACACTGTGCATTGCTAGTAGAATTACCACTGGTGATCATGACACTTTTGGCCTTCGTAAGTAGCCTTATATTCAGTGCAACGCTATCTTGCATAGTCAAATTCGGCTATACCAAATTTATCTCGTTATTTTGATTCATGTAGGGTCTGATGTTGGGAATAATAATCCAGCATACTCGATACATTTGTGCTCACATACTGATGGAACTATAGCAAGGAGGACTAATAGGAGCCCTCCACAATATTAAAGTGAATTTATACCACAAAGAGCCAATTAGTACCTGCCAATTCCGCGACGTGCAAGCTTGCGATGAACCCGACCAAGCCCAATGCCACCACCCATACCCAATCCTGAACCCAGGCCAAGACCTCCACCTAGACCATTGCTTGGTGCCGCCCCTTGAGCTGGCATGACTACAACAGTTTGTGCAGGTAGCTGTTGCTGTTGCTGTTGCTGCTGTTGTTGGCCATGGTTTTGTTTACTTGTAGTTGTTAGCTCCGAGTTTCAGATTTGATGGATTTGGGGCCATGAGCTTAGCATACATCTTGTGTGTCGCCATATTCATGCCGACAGCTCCCAAAAGTGCACCCCCTGCAGTGGCCAACTTCCCACCACCCATCTGATGGGCTGCATATCCTCCAGCTGCACCGCCTGTGACGGTAGACCCGAGGCCCTTCTCACCATCTCTGTTCTCAGAAGCATGACTCGAATCCGCTCCGTCAGATGGAGGAGTATATTGATAATAAGAGGCATTTTCACCAGGCAGTTGCTGGAATTCGTACGGTGGTGGGGTGGGGCTATGAGTATCTGTGGGCACGGCTATTCTGTGTGTAGAGCCGTAGTGACACGAGCTTGTGCCAACGTAGGGAGAGAAGGCTTCATGGCCATTGCTAGAGTGCTGCCCACTGTAGGAGTCCTGCTGCTATATGGTTCGACGTTCAGTATTGAGGATCTCTGGATTCATCTGATCTTTCGGCGATTTTGGTCTATCGCATAAAGCCCAAGATCATATTGCAGACAATAACTCACCTGAGGGTACGAGCTTGATCGTTCAGTTTGGCCACAAGAGCAGCCCTCTAGGTGATGGTCGTTATATTCACTTTTAGGGTACGACATATTGAAAAAGAAAGGACGCGATGCAACTGGAGACAGTGGATAGGATTATTCGAAGATCTGGAGCTGTTGGTATTGATGGATATGCCGATGAAACTTGCTGATATTTTTTTAATGTCTGGACAAATGCCTTGATTTATATCTTTGAGAATGCCTTACCATATGATTGTTTACATACAATACTTTACAACAATCCAACACTAAAACACCTGAGAAGTAGGAGGACAGGAGATTGAACTGCCAATAATTGCCCCAGGATTACTGTGGTAGCATTGGAAGCAATAGTAGCATAGGTCAGCGAGTTTCATCGCGCAAATTAATGCGGAAATTGAAGATCGTCGCGCGCAAATTTTGTTATAATGCCATGTACAATATAGGGCGATGAAAAAGAGACGCTCTTAGCGCAAATCTAGGTTTTTTGGAATGAATTAGTACTACCTAACCAGCTAAGATGTCATTCCTTTCCAAACAGGGTCTAGCATACACAAGGTGGCTGTGGTACCAAGATCGAGCTGAGCTTGACACTGCATCGTTATCGCTCTGAGTATCTCTGACTACCAGCCTTGTTGCTTGGGAGTTGTCCCACCACTAAATACCCCACCTACCACTATCGAGTCGCTCTTTGATCAAAAAAATGCAAAGTCAAAAAGCCGAGCGAGGTCCAAGGGGAAGATATGCCCGCACAATATGCCGCGGCTGTCGCTCAAGAAAGATTAAATGCGTCATGCAGAACCGGGGAGATCTCGGTCCCTTGGGTGTTCCGCAACCTCCAGAAAAATCGTGTGAAAGATGTCGCAATCTGAACCTGGAATGCATCTTTGAGCGTACCTTTTTAGGACGCCCCGCAGCGAAGCGCCTTCGTGGCATGGCGGCTCAAGAGAATGATACCGTAATATCAGCCGAATCCGACAGACCTAATGGGCCTGTCACTTCTACGCTTTCTAGCGTGGATATTCAAGATCATCTATTCTCCGATGCAGCGGAGATTGGTCCCAATTGGCAGGAGTTGCGAATGAGATTAGCTCCGCGTCCGACTAAAGAAGAGCGTTTCAGATCGATGATAGAGCCTCATTATTTCCTTTCATCAGTCTTGTCCAAAGATCAAGCATTTGGGAGCGATGTAACTCAACTCCCTTCGTGTTGGGACGCATCTCTTACAGAGCTCATTGACAACGACACTGCGGAGTCGCTCGAAAAGAGGTGAGCCCACTTGATCTGAGATCTTTCACCTTGCCTAACTAGCGAGGATAGTTTGACTTGGCATTACTTTTTTCATCCTTCAATGCCAGGATTGGTAGAACTTAGAAGCCGCTTACTCTCGAATGACTTCACGTCGATCAATCCTGCAACTAAGCTGCTCTTTGCACTGCTCTGCTTGACCGCTATAGACATTGACGAGGCCTTGGCCAAAAGACACCCCGCTTTGAAACCGAGTCTTCGCCTTGCTGTGGCATTCGTCGGCCAAGAATTTATATTTTCGCCACCAACGCACCATGACACGGTTGTGGTTTGCCTTTTTTTAGCAGACTACAAACCCACAGCTTTAGCCACGACACAAAGAGTCTTACATCGTGCCATTAAGTCTGAAATGTTTGTTCATTTAGCTCAAAGAGTGGCAGAAAGACTTAAAGAAAACTCGGAACAAGGAGGTACACTTCCATGTGAGTTGTATATTGCGGATGGTGCCCAATTCGATTTGGGCTTTAACCAAACGGTAGAGCGCTTACAGCTATTGCATTTTGACACATTCCTGGATGGCTACCTTGCAAAATCACATTATGCTTTACGACAAGCTCTTACGAAGATGGCGCCTGTTGTCGATGTGTACCAAATTGTTTTGAAACATCGGCAGTGTTCACCAAGAACTATCTTCCACATAAATTGGGCCATGTCAGTCTACATTCTGTTGAACGCTGTGGCAAATATAAAAGAACGATGGAACAACCCCGGATCGCTGTTTAGAGAAATTGACGAGGCTGAGAGAAGATGTGTTGAGCAACTCAAAACAAGTGACGACTTATTCGAGAAATCATCGGGCGTTTTTGACTCGCGAGAGATAGAGGCTGCTCGCTCCATCTTAGAGCTAAGGTTCAATTCTATAATCGCTAGGATATGGGGCCTCGGGCTTTTATATGCCTCAGTCCTTAAAGTAAGGTCTTTGGAAGGCGGACCGAAATGGGAACACGAGATTGAGAGCCATGAAGCAATTCAAATCAGTGACCAAGTCAGGGGAAGCAGAGAGGATATGATCGCAGGCACAGCAGAACCCTTTGCTATGGCATTGAGTCAGCTTGGAGTCAAGTTTCCCCAAAGGCTAACAAGACTTTTGGAGCTCTTCATCAGATGCACGGATCTGAGGCTTGCCGGGACAAGCTTTTGCCCTCCACTTCAACATCTTGCTCTTGAGGTTCTCACACATTGCAAGAATATTGTTGAAAACAATCTTGTGCACTTGAAGTGTTTTGGACGACTGAACCCCGAGTTTGAGAAACAGCTCGAGCTGTTTACCATATGCGCACAGCGATTCGATTCCATGGTTGCCGCGCCGTGGACATCAACTGACGTGGCCTTTGCTAATGGCTGCGTCTATGCCGTGGGTAGTAAAGTAATAGTGGGCTTTTGTCAGGTGATGAAACCGGCGAAAGAAAACCTTTCGAGGCAAATCGAAAGACAGGAGTGTCAGCAAGGAGAGGAGAGACAGGCAGGAGTGGGCTTTTCGCCCATGTACTCAGACATGAGTGAAGGCACTTTCTTCAACTTGACTACGTCAACTGAAGCATGGAATATGTGGCCTTACCTTGGAGGATTTGACCCGCTTCCCAACCCACTGGAATTTTATGACTGGATTGAAGGCCACAATACTGATGGTAATCCTGGGAGTATCCCATTTCTATAAAATATATGTGCATAGTCATTTGATTCTTGCTTCCATGTAACGCAGCATGGCATTCAACCCCCCGCTGTAACATTATTGTGACAGCAAGAGAATCATGGGCACCGAATCTCAACATCTTTTTGGTACAGATGAGTAAAGCAAGCTGATATCGACCGGGTAGAACACCGGGTGACTATCTGTGGGTCAATTCTGACTCCCCGGCAGAGAAGTAGTGCGCAACGAGCGCGCAACGAGCGTGCAACTGACAAGTGTTTCCTTGGTCGATCCCGCGACAAGAAAATGCGCAACGAGCGTAATTTTTCCAAGGCGAAAATGCCACAATCCAAGTCTCATCCGACATACTCTCCTATTCCCATTTGATGTTACGCGCAGATCACCAGTAAACTTCGCTACTAATAGTTGGCTTGATTATCCATGTGGGTATATGGTATGTTCTATTGCGCGCTCGTTGCGCACTACCACAGCCCCGGGCAATCAGCTTCTATGACTTCATGCGTAAGAACCAAGTCAGCCCACTAATTGGGCTAAGCTCGTGGCTTGAACTATCAGCTGGCGAAGAGCGGAAAATTAATTGCGCATCTTACTGACGATCGGCTCTGGTAGTAACTAAACCCTAAGGAATGAAGAAGGAGATTATATATAAGTCATTGATTCCATAATGTAGTTGGGGATTCAGCATGCTCATCAATTATGTTCTTCAAAGGTCTCTTGCTCCTCGCTGGAGCACAGTCCGCTTTTGCTACTTGTAAATGTGTATGTCTTTGCAACTTGAGTTGTCACATCTTGGAAACTGACAGGATCTAAATAGACCCCAACTGACGAATGTTGGCCATCGTTTTCTACATGGAATTCCCTTAATGTATCCGTTGGTGGTCAGCTTATAGCCAACCAGCCCATTGCTCAACCATGTTATCCCGGCCCGGGCCAGGATGCAGAGCTATGTCAAGATATCAGCCAAGAATGGACGAGTTCAAAGTTCCAAGAGGCCCACCCCGTCGGATATACTTATCCAGTTGCTGTGACCTGTCCTCCAATCAATGCCTCGATCGCCGCTTACCCTCTTTGCCAACTGGGTGCCGCTCCAGTATACACGATCAATGCAACCAAAACCAGTGACGTCTCAACAGGCATCAAATTTGCCAAAGAGAATAATTTGCGGCTTGTGATTAAAAACACCGGCCACGATATTGTGCAAAGGTACGATAATCTGATTCCCGTCGATTTGGAAGTTGCATCATGTGCTAACGTTCTATTGGCAGATCTCAAGGATATGGCAGTCTGATGATTTGGATCAAATACATCCAGGACGGGCTATCTTACCAAACCCGTTATACTCCGTCAAATCATTCCTGTCCAGCCAATTGGACTGGGGGTGCCATCACTGTCGGTGGTGGATATATTTGGGGAGACGTATATGACTTTGCAGCCAAGCACAACTCTATCGCTGTTGGAGGTGATGATAGCGTAAGAAATCATTCATCTTGAGTCATGACTGGCAGACAGGCTAACAAGAACACAGACTGTTGGGGTCATTGGAGGGTATATCCAGGGCGCCGGCCATGGCCCGACTAGCCACGCCTTTGGATTGGCGACCGACCAAGTCCTCGAATACGTAGTCGTCTTGGCATCAGGAAAGGTTGTGAGCGCAAGCCCATGCCAATACCCTGACTTATTCACTGCCCTGCGTGGAGGAGGTGGTGGTACGTACGGTGTTGTTGTATCCGCTACAATCAAAGCACACCCTACGCGCCCAGTCCTCGCGCATACGTTACTCATGACTCCAACGAAGGGCAACTTGAGCGATCTTGTGAATGCCACTGGCAACGTACTATCAAAATATCCCATTCTTTCGGACCAAGGATTTGGGGGTATCGGGGAGTTGCTCAATATGAAAGGGAAAACACTCTACGCGCACACCTTCATCATGTTCCTTGACAACAACGCTTCCAGCACCATCGAGAGCACTAAGAAGTTTGTGCACAAGCACCTCGTGAGCGATCTGCTTCCGTACAACGAGACATCGCTTCACGTCTCTTCTTCCTTCAGCCATTACCCGACGTTCCAGGGATACTTCGGCTTCAAAACTCACGCAGCCCAGGCTGGAGATAACCTCGTCATGATTTCTCGATTCTTCGACAAGAAGTCACTTGTCTCCCAGCAGGAAGGTTTATCTAGTATGCTTTCGACCATGTTTATCGAGACAGGCCCAGGGGCCCGTCCCTCTGGATCTGGACTGTCGCTGTCTCTCGATGGTGGTGGACAAGTCCTTCACCAGGAACCCTTCACATCCGTCAACCCAGCATGGCGCAAGACCTACGCTCTCTTGACACATGTCGATCTCTATCCTCTCAATGCAGGCTCGCAGGGAGTCCAGGAAGTCCAGGACAAGGCTACCTACAAAAAGCTAAAAGCAATGGAGGATCTGACCCCCGGCATGGGAACGTATCTGAATGAAGCTGATGGATTCGATCCCCGATGGAAGGAAAATTGGTTTGGAGAGAACTACAATTGGCTCAAGTCTGTGAAGCACAAGTATGATCCTGAAGGCGTGTTTTGGTGCTGGCGATGTGTTGGGAATGAGGGATGGGAAGAAGTGAAGGGCGGTGCGACCTACGGACCCCTGTGTACAACTGACTAGGTATTCTTAATGAGGGCTGCTATAACAATTTGCGCAGTATTGCTATAATATATTGTATGCGGATTTGAACTATACAGCAAGTTTCGAAATATGTCCTAAGTATATGAATTGAAAACAGTAACAGCAACACTTGTAAAAGATATAGATACCGCGAGACCAACAAAGATCTTGTCACATCTTGGCCTTCCCAAATCTCTATCACGCTATACTTGAAATTTGCTTTGGTAGTTGCCTGTTTTGTTTCGCACTTGTAATCCGGGATATAGTAAGAAGTGAGGGCTCTCAAAAAATGATTGCTAATAAACAATATTGTGGAACAATGTGCTTTTAGATAGACTAAGCGTAGACTAAGTGCTCAATAGATGCCTCTGATCAGTCTGAGCGCATCGAATTTATGCTGCATAAAAAAAACAATCTACATAAAAACACATCTGTGATTCGCTCAGTAATATATGTAGTGGGACAATAGACAAATACAGAGATCCATGGATACAGTCACATAGAATACAAGGCTCCGTCCAGCCTTCCCGTTTACAAATCGTCCGCGTCCGCGTCCGCGTCTTCACTTGCCTTGCCCTGTCCGTTGAGTCGAGACATCTCAACCTCCTCCGCGCGCCCAGAGCCCGCGCCGGGAGTAGACATGGCAATGGCCTGTCGGCCCGAGTCAGATGACTCCAGGAACTCACGCAGTCGCTTTTTGCCTTCCGTGAGAGCCTGGTTCGAGGCGGCCTCGGACATCTTGATGATCGGGCCCCACAGGTTGAGCTGGTAGGTCACGTAGGCCCCGATGGCACACAGGAAGAGAAGGAAGAAGTAAGCCGGGTTGCGAAGAACTAGTTCCGAGTGGTTAGTCGTGGTAACGAGAATACTATACAGCGTAAGGGGGACTCACCAGCAACGATCTCGTTCCACCCAAGGGCAAGCAGGATGCCGTAGAAATAGAGGGGGACTTGGGTCATGCCACCAATAGCGCTCCGCTTGGCCTCGACATACACCCCGTCCGCTGCTTTCTTGAAACGGACCGTGAGTTCCTGTCGCTTACCGTCGCCGAGGATGGTCATCTCCTCCTCCAGGCTCTTGCCCTCCTCTTCGTCGACTCCGCCAATGGGGGCCAGATCCTCTTCATCGGCCGGCGTGGCAGAGGTGGGCGTGTGCCCAACCCAGCGGTCGAGCGGGGGAGGGGCATTTGTATCAGCCAGACGGAACCGGGAGAGGAGGGGAATCAAGGTCAGGGTCGACTCCCGGGCGCGAGTATAGATGCCCTCAATGTCGTCGGTTGGCCGCCAGATCCTGGGGACCCCAGCCTCATCGTAGCGGAACTTGTCCTCGAAATTCTCGCGCAGCTTCAGCAGCAGGTTACCCTCGATCATCTCCTCGTCGATCTTGGCACGCAAAACGCCCCAGGACTTCCGGCGCAATCGCCAAAGGCCCACATCGACCTCCTCTAAGCTGGCGTCGAAGCTGCTAGCACGGTCGGTAAACCTCCGCTCAGCATCGAGGACCGTCTCGACGAAGACGTTCCACACACGGTCCCAGAAGCCTTTCTCGGTGGGCTTATTCCCTTCTTCCGGAGCACCGCCCCCAGCCCGTCCGGAACCGAGGGCGTTGAACTCGAGGCCGATGGCCTCTCCCAGGCGGGACTGAACCCATCGCTCAACTCGGCTAGCCAGGCGCCGCATCTCGTCCCGTCTGAGCCGTGAACTGACGTCCGCAAGTTCCTTCTCGTAAAGAGCCAGCTCCTGGCTATAGTCACTGAACTCGGTGCCCTCCACGGCCGTTGCGCGACCGACCTCTTCGAACTTGGCCACGGCTTTCTTCGCCTCATCTTTGACAATCTCGGCAAAGTCGTATCCCGTGCCTTTCTTCTGGCCCGACTTAACAGCCCCCGAGACAGCCTCGCTGAATTCGTGGATCCCCAACTTATGCGCTGCGTGGAGCTGACCATGGAAAAGAGCCTTGAGGCGGCTATCGATCTTTTCTTCCAGCTCGGCGTTCTTGCGCTGGTAGACGCCCTTGTGGTACCGACTGGCTTCGGTCTCAAAACTCTTCACGGCCTTGGTCCGCGACGATCGCATCGCAGCTCCCAGTCCTCCGAGGATTTCGGGCTCGCCCAGACGAGCGGCTTGGGACTGCTTGTCTTCAAATGGGACGATAGCCTCGTCGAACGTTACCATCACTGCCCTCAAAATCTCATCGCATCGGAATTGCGCGAGCAACTCTTGTTGCGTAGGAAGATCCAGGTCTTTGTTGTTGACGATCTGGTCCCAAATACCCTCCGCATAATGCGAGAACCCGTCCGCCGGAATGCGTCGGTGGTACTCCGGAAGGAACACCCCTCCATCAGAGAACTGCCCCTTCTGCGCATCCAACGTAGGGTCCCGCTGGGCAGCACGGAAGCGCAGGCTGAGCTTCTGCGTCTCGGCCACGAACTGATCCGGCTGATATCCTTTGTGTGGGAGGCCGTAGAACTGGAAGTCGAAGTAGTCGTGGACAGGCGCGTTTTCCAGGCCTGCGGGCTTAGAGATCGAGTCCCACAGGCGGGACATATCTTCCATGAGCGTCTTCTGGAGGTTTTGGAGGGGAGTGTTTCCGACGAAATCCCGAATGACGAAGAACAGAAGGGACCGGTGAGTGGTACTGAAGACCGAACAGTCAGCACAGAGATAGAATACAGCACATCACTCGAAACCAACGTACCTCCTGTCCTTCAGGAATAATTGAAGATTGACCTCAAACACCGTCTTCAAGAGACCCATGTTTGCTCCTTGGTATAGACCCACCTGGTGTTCCCAGATGTTGACAATGAGGACTTCACTCGTCGCCAGGGCAAACAAGGCGCTCTTGCGCTCAAAGTCCTGATCCTCTCCTCTCTCACGACCGTCCGTGCCTTCCACGTCCATAACCAAGATGTTGTCGGCCATCGATCCATCCCCACCCCTCTTATTCTTAGATAGCCAGATACCCTTGGTCGTCTGTCGCCGTTCCATCTCGGACATGACGGAGAACTGTGTCCCGAATAGATGATTAAGGAGCGTCGACTTTCCAGTGGACTGAGACCCAAAGACGGAAATGAGATGATAGTTGAAGCCTGCTGGCGTGACATCTTCATCGGTCAAGTATTTGGACAGGTTCGGACTACAATATCATAGTTAGCCCCTGAAGGTATATGCCCCCCTAGATTATAGGGAACACCGAGACAGATCACACGGCGTCAAGATGCCAGAGACAAGAGACCGAAGATGCGCCCGCAAGGAAGAACAAGAAGGAGGCTTACTTGAACTCTTTATTCTCATCAATGACCTGCACGCCATGCCCGTAGGCTTCCTTGTGGCTACTCTCGCCCCCAATCGAGGCGAAATGCCCATTAGTACCCATGACGTAGAGCTCCCCCTGAATTCACTTCAGAACCGAGAAAGCGAGTCGCGATGCGAGTAGATGTGATGTCGCTCAATATATAGCTAGTGTTCACTCCCTAGAAGTTGGAGACACGGCTAATGTTGGAATCTGGGGAGGGGATCCGGGATAACGTCTAGTGCGGAGAGGGTGGCGAGAGACGGTTGAAACGAAGGAGTAATAAGAGGGAAACGCTTATGCGAACGATATAGCAAAAGGGTCACAGTTAATGCTGATCCTAAAGTGATAGAAGAACTAAGTAATCACGAGGCTGGAGCACATGAGGACAATGGATGATTGCGCCCGAGGTCGGATGGTTAGCTAGCTGCTTTGGGGGCGTCGAGGGTGTGGTGCCAGAACAAGAAGGGGAACAACTGACTAAAGATACATTTATTTGCATCATCGTTAGTGCCTGCGGTTTCAGGCTGTAACACCCGAGTGGGCATGGCGTGTTCCGTCATGGGACCATGGATGCCTCAGGCACTACTCCATACTTGCCACGGATGATACGTGAGAATTGCAGCCAAGTTGACCTGCTATATATCTTTTCTCAGGCTGATTTGAGACCACGCCAAGATTAATTCAGCATTGGCTGTTATATACTGAGAGACAAAACAATATGCCAAAACGTGGAAAGTCATTGGTCTCATATTCAAGACATGATAAGAACTATAAGAGGGGAGTGATCAAGGAAATTCTACATATTTGAGTACAATAATACAGATACAAGGACATGATAAGGCTCAAGAACTCCGGCCCTAGCCACCATCAGGGGTGTATCAACATCTCCCAGAACCCCACGCGATGACGGCGTAACCTAAAAATACCCTGGAAGCAAGTGTTTTATGGGGCAAGATAGCCCCCGACTCGAGTGCCAACTTAGACCATGACGCGGGTCACCAGGCCAGTGGCCACGGTGCGGCCGCCCTCACGGATGTTGAAACGCTGGCCAGCCTCGGCAGCGACGGGGCGAAGGGTCTTGAGGACCATCTCGACGTTGTCACCGGGCATCACACGCTGGGACTGGTCCTCACCGGGGAAGCTCAGGTCGGCGGGTTCATCTGCGAAAGATCATATATTAGATGAAGTCGGCGGGATTGGAGCATGACGACGATTACTTACCAGCAGTACGCAGGAACATCTGGGGACGGTAGTTGGCGCCGAATCCGGTACGGCGACCACCTTCGGCCTCGGTCAGGACGTACATGGACACCAGGAACTTGTCGTGGGCCTTGGTGCTGGCAGGAGCGGCAATGACCATGCCACGGCGGACATCCTCACGGCGGATACCACGGAGGAGAAGGCCGGAGTTGTCACCGGCACGAGACTCGGAGCAAGACTTCTTGAAAGTCTCAATGTCGGTGACCTTGGTCTTGACGGGGACGTTGCTGCCACCAATGATCTCAACCTCACTATCCTTCTTCAGAAGGCCACGCTCGACGCGGCCGGACGCGACAGTGCCACGGCCAGGGATGGAGAACACCTCCTCAACGGACATCAGGAAAGGCTTGTCCATGTCACGCTGGGGGGTGGGGATCCAGGTGTCAACGGCCTCAAGGAGGGAGTCGATACGCTCGGTACCGATATCGGAGCGACGGCCTTCCAGAGCGCAAAGAGCAGACCCGAAGATGATAGGAGTCTCTTCACCCTCGAAACCGTAGGTGGAGAGAAGCTCACGCATCTCCAGCTCGACCAGTTCCAGCATTTCGGGGTCATCCACAGCATCGACCTTGTTGACGAACACGACGATCTTCTGGACACCGACTTGGCGAGCGAGCAGCAAGTGCTCACGGGTCTGAGGCCTGTTTTGCAAGTCAGCATCATCCTTCCATCATCACAGATTCTTGTTTCGGTTGAACCATACATCTGACCGTCGGAAGCGGCAACGACGACGATGGCGCCGTCCATGTTGGCCGCACCAGTAATCATGTTCTTAATGTAATCGGCGTGACCCGGGCAGTCAACGTGGGCATAATGGCGGTCCTGGGTCGAGAATTCGATGTGGGCGGTAGAGATGGTGATACCACGCTTGCGCTCCTCGGGAGCCTTATCGATGGCATTGTATTCGAGGAAGTTGGCAAGACCCTTAGAGGCCTGGTATTTGGTAATGGCAGCGGTCAAAGTGGTCTAACGAGGACATGCTGGTTAGAAACAGGCCGGGCACCAAGGGGAGCGCAACAGTGAAAAGGCGTCAAATCCTCACCTTGCCGTGATCGACGTGACCAATGGTACCTATTCCGTGTTCGTTAACAACCGAGCGATATTCAAATCAATTGGCGAAAAGGAAACTATCTTCATACCGATGTTGACGTGAGGCTTGGTACGCTCGAAAGCAGTGGCCAAACCACGGGCAGCCAGGCGATCTTTGCAGAAGAGATGCTGGACGGGGTTGACAGCGCTGGGACGCAGCAGGGAAGCCCTGCTGCTGCGCATGAGAAGGTTTGCGGATCTGGAGATGCTCGACATGATGGCTGCCTGGTACTGATGAAAAGACCGACGACAAAGATACCAAAGGAAACGCGATGGAGAAGAGAAAGGAAATATGATCAGGACCGCCTGGACCAGTTGCCCGAACCCGAAAAATTTAGGGAGGCGCTTAGTCAGGACAGGGACCCGTCCAATGAGAGTGGCGGGATTGCGGAAGTGCCTGGCCTGCTATAAACTTTTGATGCTGGAATAGTGACTTCTTCATCAATCATTGACCTGTCAAACTTCCAGGGAGTCTACATAAGACTGTTGGCTGAGTGCATCCGGTGTCTGCCACGGTGTTGGATTAGGGACGTTGGATATCCTTGAATAGTGAGAACTTATATAGTGGAGGCATACGGAGTACAATACGGGCATCGCTCGGCATGCGCTCTGATGCACATAGACCTGGAACATCTGTATATGAAAAGACTCCTGTACAACTCCCATAGTCAGGTACTCGGCAGCACCTCCAGGATTGACAATATACACCCTGTATGTAATGGACTATATTTTATTTTACATCAAGTCTTTCCTCTTCAATATGATCAAGACCTGCTTTCCCAGAACCCCTTCCATCGGCTTGACCAGACCAGCATTGGCCTCGTCTGCCACCTCCATCACCCGATTATAAGTGTTCTGCGCTTCTTCCATGGTGGGGGCCCGTTTTCTCTTCTTGAGAGTCAAAAGGACCTCGACTTTTCGACCCTTCTCCAAGAAGCTCGCCAATTGCTTCATGCGGTGGGAGAGATCATTATTGCTGATGCACCAATTCAGCTCTATCTGTTTAAGCTGCGACTTCAGTGCCTTTGCAGCCTTTGCCTTGTTGCGTTCGTACTCCCGTATCGCAGCCTTGTTCATGATCTTGCATACCGGAGGTCGGTCGCTCAGCGGGGGTGACACCTGGAGCACGAATTCCTCGGCACGATTGATAGAGTTCAAGACATCCCGAAGCCTCGTAGGAGGGTCTAGGTGGCCTTCTTCGTTAACCAACTGGATATGTGGCACCCCGATCTGCTCATCTTTGAATTGTTGTGACTCGTCTTGCGCAGTAGGTTGCCGCCTAGGTATTCTTAGGAATCGCAATTGCGGAAGGTTCCGTACGACGGGAGGATTGAGGGCATGGACGGGGTGGGGGTGGAATATAGGGCGGCGGAGAAGTGAAAACTGAGTGGCATCGGTGGTGAATGTTCGACGGAGGGCTTGTGTCGTTGAAAGGAGACCCCGAATGTGCTTCATCTTGACCCAAACCAAGTGGGCGTAGGTGGATGGTCCGGAAGAACAGGGAGAGCCACAAAGCCCGGAGGAATTCCAGGTGCGAACAAGGCGGAGCCGCTAATAATGCAATCAGATAATAATACCAATCACAATGACGAAGACAATAATATTATTCAGACGTGGGCGAACCGTTCCCTCATTTGATCTAGGGAAATACAATGGAGAGATCGAGGATAATGGAGTGGACACGAGGAAATGAGGTTGGACTGACGCATGCGGAGCATGAGCCACAGAGGGTTCCAGAGTTCGACCGCGGAGACTCGACGGTGTGTGGTGTGCGCCACCGTGGGCGGATCCAGAACGTTTCAAAGGGCTCTCGGCGACTGGGGCCTCCTTTCTGTTCGGGTCTTTCTCTCTCCCTTCTTTTTTTCCCTCCCTGGGTCTTCTCACTCACTCGCCCTCTAGGGATTCATTCGCTTGGTTTCCACTCGCTTTGTCTTTTATTCCCTCCACAATCCTTTGTTGATTTGCCCTGGAGGTCTTGGAGCGAATCTATGGTTTCTCCTTTCGGCCGCTAATCCATCTTTCTTATCGTTGGTAAGAACAGAACAACGCCGACAGGTCTCCGGATTGAGAGGCCACTCGCTTAGCTTTACGTTTCCGGCCTCGCTCGCATGTCGACCGGAGTTGACGGTTGGCATCTGAAGAACACTTCGTCTTTCTCACACTCAGGGTCACGAACGAGTAAACGCTCAAATTCACGGGCCTCCGAGGCCGCGAGCCCCCCCGTCGACTTCCTGAACAACGTATCGGATAAAACACTTGACAACCCATTCACCGCAACCATGGCACAAAGTCAGCGATCTCGGTACCTCAAGACAGGCGCCATCATTGGTGCCCTGTTGATGATGATGTTTTGGTTATCTCCCTCGAAGTCGTCTGTGGCGAATGTCAGCGGATCCCGTAAGTTATCTACCAGTGCCTGGTCGACTCAACTGGCTCGGAGGCCAGCCAACTAATAATCACATCGCAGAAAAAGCGTCCCCTGGCACCGCCGCGCCTTTGACGGACAGGTGCACCAAACCCCATGACCCGTCAAAGCCACTGATCCAATATGCCCTGATGATCGACGCGGGAAGCCAAGGTTCTCGTATCCACGTCTATCGATTCAACAACTGCGGTCCCACTCCCGAACTCGAAAATGAAGTGTTCGAACAGACTGAAAAGAGGGCTGGTGGTTCTGGGCTGAGCGCATACAAGGAAGATGCTGAGGGCGCAGCGAAGAGTCTTGATCCTCTCATGCAGGCGGCTTTGCGGTCTGTCCCTGATGAGTACAAAACTTGCTCTCCAGTCGCCGTGAAAGCCACCGCGGGTCTGCGTATGCTTGGCCCGGAGTTGAGCCAGAACATCTTGGAAGCCGTCAGGGCTCGATTGGAGACCGTCTATCCCTTCCCCGTGGTTTCCCGCGAGAAGAATGGTGTTGCGATTATGGACGGCTCCGACGAAGGTGTCTACGCTTGGATCACTACGAACTACCTTCTTGGAAAGATTGGCGGGCCCGACGAGACCCCGACGGCTGCTATCTTCGATCTTGGTGGCGGCTCGACTCAAATCGTCTTCCAGCCCACATTCGCAAACAGCAAGTCGGGCGGGATGCCGGAGCGACTGGCGGAGGGCGACCACAAGTACTCTCTTGACTTTGGTGGCCGATACTTCGAGCTCTATCAGCACTCGCATCTGGGTTATGGTCTCATGGCTGCGCGCGAGGCTGTCCACAAGACAATCGTTGAAGCAAAGTTGGCCATGGGTACTAAGGATCTGGCTTGGCTGAAACAGCCCATCTCTAACCCGTGCATTGGGCCAGGCATGAGCCGTGATATTACTCTGACTTTCCCTCACGATCACCCGCTTGGACCCGAGGTTACGGTTACTATGGAGGGCCCGAAGGAAGGTTCTCTCGCGGCTGTTCAGTGCCGTGGGCTCACGGAGAAGATCCTCAAGAAGGATGCCGACTGCACTCTAGCCCCGTGCTCCTTCAACGGAGTTCACCAGCCCTCGCTCGAGAAGACCTTCTCTCGTGAGGACGTGTACGTCTTCTCGTACTTCTTTGACCGCACCAGACCCCTGGGCATGCCGGACTCATTCACCCTGGCAGAGCTTCACGACCTCACCTCGACGGTCTGTGCCGGGGCCCCGTCCTGGAAGATTTTCGAGGGCATCGAGGGAGCTCTGCCGGAGCTGCAGGGTCGCCCCGAATGGTGCTTGGACCTGAACTTCATGCTGGGACTCCTGCACACGGGCTACGACATGCCCTTGTCGCGTGAAGTCAAGATTGCGAAGAAGATCAAGAACAACGAACTTGGCTGGTGTCTTGGTGCAAGGTAAGAGACCGCCCTATATTGACTACGTAATTACTATACTGACAAACGCAAACAGCTTGCCCCTTCTGAGCCAGGAATCGGGCTGGACCTGCCGGGTGAAGGAGATCGTTTAATGAATCACGGCGATTACGGAGATAAACCAACTACCCTATCTATATTTTTGTCTCATGTTTAATTATCTCTGACGGGTGCAAGCCACGCTGTCACTTCCTTCATGCAAATAGAGCTTGGCCATTTACCATTCTGCCATTTATCTGTTTGTCGCATTAGATTTGGTTGATATTATATATGGTGTTGAAATAAATCGATTTGACACCGAGTTTGAGTGAAGAAAGTTCATGGAGTTTTTATACATTGTTATTTGTCCAGATGTAGCGGAATAGTATCAGCCATAGCACATGTCCTTTTTGCCACCACTTCAATTCTAATATAACTTCGACAAAAGAGAAAACGAAAGAAAGAAAGAGAAAGCAAATTCTATACCACCAACTCCCACATGTAGATACCTATAACATGCAAGTATAAATAAAGAAACACGAGATCCACCGGGAACGCCAACCCATGCAATCTAATATAATGTCGCGCGACAGTAGGTCTCCCTCCACTGGGTGCATCACTCGTTGATCTCCTGGATAGAGGGTTTCTCGGTGGACGATTCGTGATGCTGATTGCCCATCAACTTGCCCAAAACGTCCGTCTCCTTAGCCTGACTTCCGGGAGCTGCTGTCTCGGGATTCTGAGGGTTTGTGGTATTGGTGTGATCTTTCTCGTCATCTTCGTCGGAATCGTCCCCGTCGCGCTTTTCTTCCAGGACGCCTAGGCCGAGATTCTGGATTATCAACCAAAGTCAGCCATACACTATTTCAATCGGTGTATAGATACCACCCCCAAAGAAGGATGATCCCACTCACCATCTCGATATACCTCCCCTCACCCCCCTCGTCCGCCTCATCCAGACGAACATCCTGTCCTCGCCCAGCCTCAATCTCCCGCTGAAGATCCTCATTCGCGCTCTTCATCTGCGGAAGGAAAGTAGACAGACGGTCAAGAAGACCATTATCGCGCTTCATACGGTGGATGTACGGTCTCGGACGGCCAGGAACGCTGGGCGGGACGTCAGACCCTTGCGCGCCGGTGTGACGATCAGAGGTACGTGACTCGGAATTGCTTTCTGCATCGTTGTCGCTGTCGCTGTCTGACTCGGACGAATCGGAACCCGACGACGAGGTCGGATCGTCGTCATCGTCGTCGTTGCAGGAAAAATCCGCTTCGGTGCGTTTCGAGGCGGACGGCGCTGGCCGGTGAGCGAGATCTGTGCGCGTTTGTGTGGGGTTGACGGCCATGGTTGGTTGGTTGGTTGGTCGGTCGATTGGCTTGTTCAGGTTGTGTTAGGTTGGATTTTGGAATTAGGTAGGAGTGTTGAGTGCTCTTTTTTTTTTATGGCCCCGCGCTGCAGGATTGGAGATATTTTGGAACGCCGGGCGTATCGCGCGAGATAAATCCTTATCGAGGAGGACGGCCGCTCATTGGTGGATCGTCTGACTAAGGCCGGCGGCAGCCCGATCTATGAGGTCCATTCATTCTTGAGTCTCCTTCGAAGATATCACATTGACAGGCAACCGAGTGATGAACATTGGCGGTTAGGGAAATAGGAGGAGGATGAAACGGCTCGAAGTGGTTTCCACGTGGCTGATTCCCCTCAATGGTAGATCCTTTTGTTCCACCATCATTGTCTGATTGATGGAGAGCGTTTGACACCCCAGCATGGTGTCAGCTTCAGGAATTCTACTGGGACAAACTGGCTATCACACGATGCGATGTTAGGCTCTTTCAAAATGGCGAGTAATCTTCTTGTTCTAGCTACGGAGAACCTTAAACTCGCTCATACTATCCACGGCGTCAATCCAATCTATACAGATTCTTCCAGTCCCCAATCATCCGTGTCTGGTGATTGAAACCAACAATAGGCAAGGTTGTCTAATTGTCCATTGACTCGCTATTGATAGGGCTACGGTGATTGTTCTGAGATCTGCTGGGGTTTTCCAACGCTTGGCCATATCTTGGACTTTCCATTCTCAGTATACTTATACTCCAAAGACCTCATCTGTCCCCAACCTAATCACACATACCCTACATGCATCTGACCGAATTCAACACGCACCCAACATAAAGTATGAACGTTCTTAGATTACCACAAGAAATACCCATGGCTGCACCCTCACTCAAACTCGAGCCCATCAACGAAGACCCAACCCAAAAAGAAGGAGAGCCCCTCTCAGCAGAAACCCGGAAAGCCCTCCACCAAAACATCGTCAGCAAGCTCCGGCCACTGCCTTTCCAGTATCACTGGGCCGTCTGGTACGACAAGCACGCAGAGAACACGGCGACCCCATCAACCTACCAAAACCAGTTATACCTCTTACACGAGGACGTCGCTGACATTGCGACATTCTACCGCGTGTACAACAACTACCCATGGCATAGAATCCGCATGCGTGACTCCGTGCACATCTTCCGGAAAGGGGTACGTCCTGTCTGGGAAGATCCGGAGAACGCCCAGGGTGGATGTTGGATGTTTCGCGTGCCCAAGAGCAAGGCGCAGGCGTTTTTTCACGAGATGGCTGTGCTGTGCTTGGCGAATGAGTTCCAGGCGGTTGTTGAGAAGGGTATGTATTGTGTACTCTCTCTTTATCTCTCTTTGTCATCTTCTTTACATAACTATTCATCGCGATGTATGCACGCACATATACTGATCAGCCCAGAACACGACCATGTCCTTGGTATATCCATGACCGTCCGTTTCAACTCCCATCTCATCAGTGTCTGGCATAAGCTTGGCTCCAACGACCGCTCCATTAAGGCACTTGAGTGCACAGCTATCGACCGTTTATCACCCGAGCTGCGATTGCCAGCTGCAGGGCCCGATTCCTCGTCTTATTCGTATTCTTATCGCCGCCACGATGAGAACCCCGGGTATAAGGAGGCGATTGAGTTAGCGAGGAAGCAGTCAATTGTTCGGTAATCCATTAGACCTGGATAGAGTCATTCAAGCGCATGTTTCTCTTTATTCAGAACGTTGGATCAGATAGGGATCTTGATTTGTATAGCAACTTTAGATTGGCAATATTCAATGGAGTGTAGGCACTATCTAAACAACCTTGTCATAAAAACCCTTTTTACACCATCATGTACCAGGCCATTGGACGAACATGAATCTCTAAAGGCATTGAAGACCTACAGGATGTGATATTGAGCTGGGTCACATAGTAAGGATATATTCCCCCTATTAAAGCCCTTATGGTTACAAATCATACATCGTCAGTCGCGTGGTCTAATGGTTATGATTTCTCATTCACAAGTATTGTTAACTGAGAAGGTTCCCGGTTCGATCCCGGGCGCGACTATTTTTGTGTTTTTATATATTTCCGCTACGCTATCTTTTTCGGGGAGGATCTCTTTTTTCCTCGATCTAAAAAAGACAGGAAATGAATATCAATTGTAAGTCTATACTCGTTGTCGCAACAATGTATTGTGTATGCCCTGGGTCCGAATTATAGTATTGTCGTTGATCTCGATGCCAACAAGCAATAACTAGCAGTAGAATAGGTTGTCCCGACATTTGTCTACTTGATTTGGTGTATACTACAGTGTAAACCTGGCAGCCGGGGAACCAAGAAACCACAGCAGGTTTCTCTGTATTGAAATCTTCGAGACTTCAAAGTGCATAAGAGGATGACGGAGAGAGACACAGCAGGAGGACTTGGACGGCAATACCATCCTTAATTCACATTAATAGTACATTTTCCTTGATAGATAGATTCTGGTGCGAGATATCCTCAAAGAACCTCGACGTATTATAAAAATGCATTAGACGTTCAATGCCCAGGGACACAGATGCTGCTAAAGCCCCCCCCCCCCCGCAAGGCGTCCAGGCCGCTGGGGAGAGATGTGTATGTATGTGTACATTGTAGATAGGACTTTGGGCCAGGACCAAAGACAGAAATTGACAGCCAAAGACTGTGTCATTTCTGACCGTTCAAGGAGGTCTAGTTGGCGTCTTTTCGGCACCACCAGGAACGTACCGGTCGATTTCCACGAATCCTCGCCGCTCTCGCTCCCGCTCCCGCTCCCTGTCTCGGTCTCTATCCCGGTCACGGTCACGGTCCCGTTCTCGGTCTCGATCACGTTCTCGTTCATCTGCCCGTTCTGAAGAGCGAAGTCGACGACGCGGAGATCGGCTGCGGTTACTTGTTACAGGCACGTAGCGGTCGATGTCGAGAAGGCTAGGCGAAGGATGACGGGAGCGAGACCGCCGGCGAGATCGTGAGCGTCGCCGAGAAGAGGCTGATACGCGAGACTGCGATCGTTCGCGCTCTTTGCCGCGCTCTCGCTCGCGTTCACGCTCCCCACCATGTTCCTTGACCCGCTCGCTGTCCTTGGGTCTCTCGCGACTGCGATCACCACGCCCACGTTCTCTTTCACGGTCTCGCTCACGTTCCTGATCCCGACCCTGTCCTCGAAATTGTGAGCGCGAGCGAGAACGATATCGCCGTCGGCGATACTCATCGCGGTCGCGGTCCCGGTCCCGGTCCCGATCACGGTCTCGATCCCTGCGGTCCCTGTCACGATCACGGCTGCGGTCCCGACGATGGTCGAAATCCCGATCACGGTTATCACGCCGGAGATCTCTCTCCCGCTCGGTACTCTTATCGCGATATCGCGCCCTAGATCGGTCTCGTTCCCGATCCCTGTCGTATCCGCGGGTGGTTGACCTACTCCTGCTCCGTCTCCCGGGTCGATAGCTGCGATCGCCAAATCTGTCTTCCCGACGGTCGTCTCGGCGATCTTCTCGACGATCTTCTCGACGATCTTCTCGGCGGTCTCCTCGAAAGTCACGAATCGGAAGTCGTTCTCCGGAATCCCGATCGCGAGGTCGAGCAGAGGCATCCCGCGAATCCCGGCGATCATCGTCTAATCGTGAAAACCTTCTCCGGGAGCGGCTGCGGCTTTTGTCGCGTCGGCGAGTGCGGTGATGCTCGTCCGCTATTGTCGACTCTCGTCGTCGATTAGGATCGGTCTCGCCAGCTGGACTCTCTGCCTTGGAAGGAGTATTGGTGTGTTTCGATTCCGATGTTGCTTTGGTTTTGGTCGTTGGGGGCTTTAGACCGTTTTCGATCGCCTCTGCTTCTTCGAAGTCGAATTCTGGCTTCTGGCGAGCCTTGGCTGCCAGCTCTTCACCTTCCTTTAGAAGCATTTGCAAAGCGGCCTCCTCCAACGACTTCTCATCCACAGGGGGTGCCGCCGCCGCCGGCGGAGCAGGCGTCGGTTCTTTTGGCGTCGCAGATTTTTCCTTCCGGGCATCGCGATAACGCGGAGACAAACCACGGTCAGAGCGATAGCCAGGAGAGCGGTCACGGTAGCGATACCTGTCTCTATCCCGATCTCGGTCCGAGTCACGATCTCTTGTGCGACTGTGGTCATGCCAGTCGCGGTATCTGTCTCGGTCTTCCCGTCGTCGCCGTTCGTACCGTTCTTGCCGTTCCTTTTCTCTCTGCTCGTCCGCTGCGCGTTGCTCTGCCCGTCGCTCGTCCTCGCGCTCCCTCCTCCTGGCCCGGTCTTCTTCATCTTTCTGTCGCTCAACCTCGCGACGTTTTCGATCCTCCTCTGCCTTTTTCCGCGCTTCTTCCTCTTCCTTTTCTCGCTGCTTCCGGACCGTTTCCTGCCATATCTTCTCTCGCTCGTCACGTAATTCCTTGACATGGGCAGCGTAGTCTTCGTCTGTTTTATTTCCAGCCTGTTCTTCCGCAAGTGCAACCTCGTCACCAATTTCTTGCCGACGAATGTCGCGAACAGAGTCTAGAATGGTGGGTAGGTAATTCGAAGCTAGCGAGTCTAGTGACTTCTCCACCGTTTTGTAGATATCGCTTCGGTCCACGGCGCCTTCGATCAATGTCGCAGCCTTACCGCGCTCGCGGGAGAGGAGGCCCGGTTCGCGATCGATCTCCGTTTCTGCCAACTCCACTAAGAGGTTTGTAAATTCCACTTTTTTCTCCTGATAATCGACACAATTAGCATGGACAACCCATTTGAAATAAACCATCAAGAGATAAACAAGATGATAAACGTACCCCATCATGGAAGTCCGCCCAAATCTTTTTCCGTATATTATCGAAACCACCCTTTTTCTTGAACGAATGGAGTAGATCCTCAATCGCGGTGTGTTTCGCGGCGGACAAGGGTAGCTCATCGGTCTTGAACTTCTTCCGTTGCAGACTGTCGACATCGATCGACGGGCGTTTTGCGCTCGCGGGCTGTGCATCAGTCATCTCCTCTGGACCAGCCATAACGAGAAGCGCAGAGAAAATGCGCAACAACCCGGTGAGGAAGGGGATCGAGAAAGCGCGAAATACACAGCGGAGAAAGCGCGTGGCGCAAGATGGACCCTCCAGTGCTAAGGCCGGAGAATGATAACACTGACTGGTTCATTTTCCCTTAGTTCAGCAAGAGCGACCGGGCTCAGCGGACTAAACCGTAGAGGGAAAATCAGTTCGGCACAATGTTAATCCGCGGATTGGGAACTGCGGCTCCATGATTCGATGAGTTGGGTAAGGAACATTCAAACCGTCAACATCATCTCGACCGGACGATCACCTATAATCGCCAATTGCGCCGCCGGTTCACGCCCAGACCGTGAAGTGACTGTTTGAGCTTCATCCGGAGAAGACTCCCTCCCCGACTTCCTCGCAAACCCGACCCTCTCGCCGGGTTTTCTTCGCACGATCCTACCCCCCTCCTCCGTCCGCGCAACACATTCATAATGGTCCACAAGGTGCTCTTCTGGGGCGGCTTCGGTACGTACACTACCTCTTCGATTTGATCCGGATCTTCTGTCGATATGAGTGCCGTGTCGCGGCCCACCACTGTACCCCCACCAGCTAACACCTCGATCCCTAGGCATCGCCGTCCGTCTTTGGCAACTCGGTATCGAGATGCGTCCCATCCTCGCCAAGGAATCCCTCTGGGTGTACCCTCTGTTCGCCGGAGTCGGTGGCAGCTTCGGCTACTGGCTGCAGGGCGTCGAGACCCGTCAGCTCCGGATCCTGGCCCAGCGCCGCGAAGCGATCCTCGAGAAGCGCCGGAGAAGGGACAACCAGGTGCAAGAGGCTGGCTCTCTGGCTGCGACGGCATGAAGGAAGGGCTGTACATATAGTGGTTGATTTCTGTTACAGTTCTGTTTTGGTTTTTTTTTTTTTCTATCGTGTTTTTTCCCGTTTCCCTGGTCAAGTCAGCCGGGGAAGGGTGATGAGTTGTGTGGACTGCGGACGGGCGCGGACTCGGTTGACCTGCCCCTTCGGTGTACTAAAATTCAATTGAATGGTTAATGCTCAACTTATTCTTTCTCTTTGGTTCTTGTTGCGGTGGAGATTGGTGTATCTCTTTGGGTGTGGGGTGACTGGGTTGGGGCGAGCATGTAAGGAATCCACGGGCTAAAGGTGGTAGGTATTATAGGGACCACACATTACCCAATTGGTTTATAGTAGCCGTCCTACCTGGTGAATCCTCCACAGATCTACTACTGTGGTGCTTATTTTATATGCATGGGCTGGTGGAATTGCCTTGGAATAGCGTTCTGATCATAGTGCTTGGCTGCGTTGCGCCGTGTCCTGCTACAAGAAAAGCAATAAACAGTAAATGATATATGCAGTAGTCCCAAGATCAAACAGTGTCCAAACATGTATATTGAAAAGAAGGTATCATGAATTTCATGTACAGGTACCGATCACGGCAAATTTATGTCCGCTCAACCGTAAACTGCAAAGACACTTCCCACTTCTGGCCGCCAGTTCCATACCCACCACCTAGTCGGTTCTTGATCAAACTGGAGATACGCTCTCGGAGCCTGATGAGGTTCTCTTCGGAGCCGGAAACCCGCAGCTTGAGATTGGCCATGCACAGGCCATAATGCACCTGCCAGAAGCGGGCATCGTCAACACCGAAGACGTTCGGGTCAGCTTCAATGTCCCGAATGACATCGTTGACGCCCTGGCCTGAGTAGGACATGAGAAGCATAGAGCCCAGTGTCTTGACCAGACGCACGCCGATGACACACATCGAGATGGAGATAGTGCTAGACAGGAAGACATCGAGCCAATTATAAAGCTTGATTGACACCAGTGGAAGCAACAGAAGCAGCGTAGAGCAGGAGAGGGTCAGGAAATGCGACGGGTTGCTCAGTACCGACGGGAGCGATTCGATATATCCAAAACGCATGGCTTTTCCTATCCGGGCATGGTTTTTGAGCCCAATCGCCGACACCAAGGTTGATGAGATGGCAAGCAACGCGGTAATATCCACGCTTCCTACCGAAACACGCTCATGGGGGTGAGGGTGGTGAGGCTCGTGCCCCGAGGACTCGAGGAAGTGCTGGAGACTATGTGAAATCAAGTCCATCCCCATGAAAAGGAGCAGGACACACATTGCGAACCCAGCCAGCACTTCTGCACGTTCCAGCCCAAATGGATGCCGGATACTAGATCTCTTCCACACCTCGAAGTTGCCCAACACATCCACCGCTACGCAAAGTAGCGCTCCAAGTGAATCGAATAGGATCAAGTGAGACAGAGCTGTCATCGCCAGCGACCCATGCGCGCTCCAGAGAGTGTAAGCGGCAACAAACATGTGGCAGACACTCCACCAGAACCGCGTCTTTTGCTCTTTCGACATACTCGTTCGGTATTCCTTCAAGGTTGGGATCGGCAACGAATTGGGAAGTGCCAAAGGTGCTCGCGGTGGGGGTTCGAGAAATATCTGATGTGAGATACTGCTATGCTTGTATTTGTGTCCGCGCCGCTGTCCGATATTCTGATAATGCAAACCACCGCTTTAGCGTCGCACTCTTTGAAGAGAAAAAAAATGCGATTTTTCAGACTTACCGATTTCACGACCGGACTTTTGGCCATCGTCGCCGTCTTGAAGTTGAAGGGTCCCGCAGATGCATTCTCGTTCTGGACGGTGGCATCTGAAGGACTGAGGTTGAAGGAAGACCGCTGAGGACTCAACCGACTACGATTCTCTCCATCCTGGGGCGATCGCGGAGTCGGTAAGTCCCCCGCTAAAGGAGACAAAGCATCATGGTTACCAACATCAAAGCCAGATGGCTCGTTGGATGGATTGGGAGAATCATCCGGGGGAGGAGTGGGCGTGCGGGGAGGAACAGGGATGGGAAAACTGGATGCCATTTGCCCTGCTGAGGATTGAAGGGATAGGAATTGACACCTGCACTGACAAGATGAATGCTCGGGCGCGGGATATACCAATCAGACGAAGACCAAAAATCCAAGAACAGGGTGGAGCGGAGGCATGGACCGATGGAGGTGAAGATGGTTAGGAGGTTCCATGCGCGCGATAACTTGGCTATCTGTCGGGGCCTGAGGAGATAACGGACGCCACAAAGGTACCCAGGCGGACAGCCAGACTCCGTCCCTAACAATACAGCCTGAGTGGCCCTGAAGTACCCGGGCGGGCGCTGCGGCGGGAGTAGCAGATCACTCAATTGGGGTTAGTGGGCAGTCCACTACCCGCCAAGACCCTTGAAGTGAGGACCGAGAAACATGGATGAGGGCCTAAGGCCTCGACTCTCTCATAGCATCATCGATTACTCCCCCCCACTCCTTCCGGCCATCACCATCTAACACTAATACTACCCACCCACCCGTCATTCCTGGGTTACTTCTACCTACAGATTCCATCTACTCATCTTCTTTTTACTCACTTGATATTTCTCTTGGGACTCTCTGTACCCTACTGGACCGGACCCTTTTGATTTTCCATCGGGACTGGCGATGCGATACTCCGTATAGACCGTTTTATCGTGAGGAGAGTCCGACTCTTATGCTTCCCGGCTCCTAAGGTGCATCTATGGATCACCGCGGTTCCTTCTTTTTCCTTCTCCTCGTGTTCTATCTTCTTCTCAATTCCCAGTCGCATGCTCCGCTGGTCGCGCAGGATCGGGAACGTCAACGGGAGCTCGAAAGGGAGCGACAGGCGCTCCGTTTGCTGAATGAGTCTTCCTATGGAGACTTGAATCCTGAAGCAGATCGGTGGCTGCCGTACCATGGATTCAGGAAGAATGACAGTTACGCGTGGAGTCTCCTCGGCGAGGTCCAGGATAGGGCGCGGGATCAACTGCAGTCGATCGTATCCAACGCCGGGTTCGAACCGCCATCGCCCGGCCTCAATCTGTCGCAGTTACCTCTTCCTGTGTATCAAAATGTGACAGGGAAGCTTCAGGGAGATTGGGTGCGTCGCAAGCTGGCTGGGGATCGACCGCCGCTAAACACGACCGCCATCGCGTTGGAGAACGAATACTTCACGAACGAGTTTAGCCAGAATGTCACCGGCAACAGTGGGACGTTCTACTTGGACTTGCGGGAAGGCGGAGGAGAAGAGCTGCGGCTGCGCAATGGCGAGATCCGGGAAATACGCGCAGCTATGGCTGTGGAGAGCGGCGATTTCTGGGGAACCACCTGGCACCTATCTTTGTACGGTGTCCATTTCCCGGAAACCGGGGCTGTCGTCCTGACGACCTCGAGCGAAAAGTTTGGCGGCGTGTTCGCTCTGCCGCATTTGGCACTGTCGTCCGATGGGTACGATCTCTCCCACAAGCTCCTCGTCAAGTCCCTCTCCGATGCCATATCGGAGAAACACAATCGGCCGCCCACGATATTACCTTGGCCATTGCTGGTCGGTACGGAGCAAGTGGAATTTCCTTCGCCCAAATGTGAACACATAGTCTACTTGCAGCAACATCCGGTTGCGACTCGCGATTATCTGATGGACAAGTCGATCATCCACCAAGTGGAACAAGAGCTTCGATACCCGATGGGTGCCCCCATCCCATCGCCTCCACTGATGGCCATGTCAGCCGTGGTCTTTTCTCCTGACTGTGGCTACATCCTGGAGACTAAAGGCACACCTGAATTTCCGCCAACAGACTCGCTCTACCTGACGGGGCTTAAGTTGGAAGAGTTTGGCAAATACTCCGCGCGTATAATATCCGTCATGTCGGCCTTCTGGGTTGCGCAGATAGCATTGCTTCTTCGGCAGATCAAGGTTTCTTCTACACCATCGACCCGAAGTCGTGTAAGCTTCTACACGATTGCGCTGATGGCGTTCGGAGACGCTTTTGTGCTCGTTTTTGTCCTGCTTGAGCTTTACCCGGCCGTATCGTTTCTGATTATGACGACCGCTTCTTTCCTCACTTTCCTGTCAGTCAGCTACATTGGCATGAAATTCATGATGGAAATCTGGGCGGTTCAGGCACCGGAACGGAGGGAACAAGAACGGAGGGAACAAGAGCGTCGCTCGAATCCCCCAACCCCTAGTGTGCGACCTGGAGACCTGCCACTGCCAGTGACTGCGGCACGGATGCGAGATTCGGGTGCAACGCCGATCATCTTGACGCCCGATCAGGATCCTCCGGAAGAAGAAGAGGAGGCACCGCCGGCCAGGGCCACCGCTACACCATCCGCACGGGACGCTCGCAGCGACGTCGGAGCTATGTATGCTCGATTTTACTTCATCCTGTTTGTGACGCTTATTGTCTCCATCTGGTCATTCATGTGGCCAAACCAGCTTGCAGCACTCTACGCCCGGGTTCTGGGGTTCATCTATGTGTCCTTTTGGACGCCTCAGATCTATCGGAACGTCATGCGCAATTGTCGCAAAGCCCTACGATGGGATTTTGTCGTTGGGCAAAGCTTTTTGCGACTATTCCCGTTCATGTACTTCCTCACTGTGCGAGGAAACGTGCTGTTTGTGCGACCCGATGTGACCACGGCGTTGGTGCTGGCTGGGTGGGTATGGATCCAAGTTTGGGTATTGGCAAGCCAGGACATCCTAGGCCCTCGTTTCTTCATTCCTCGTGGATGGGCACCCCCAGCCTATGACTACCACCCTCTCGTGCGTGATGCGGCCGGGTCAGATGATTTGGAGTCCGGTGGAGTGCTACCCATCGAGGCATTACGAGCCGACGAACGAGACATATCAATAGACGACAAAGGCGATGACAAGCACCGACCCAAGGACAAGAAAAAAGCGATCTTCGACTGCGCGATCTGCATGCAGGAGATTGAGGTGCCCGTCTTGGCCGCGTCCACAGGCAGCAACAGCGTCACGGACGGAGCCACCACCATCCTCAGTCGGCGCGCATACATGGTGACTCCGTGCCGGCACATCTTCCACAGCACTTGTCTCGAAAGCTGGATGCGGCTCCGGCTGCAGTGCCCGATCTGCCGCGAATCCATCCCTCCTGTATAGAATGTATTATGGCTATGGTTATGACTATGATTCATGTGATAGTGTACATTATCTAGAGTGTCTGACATGGTTTGCACATCACCGCTAGTGATTTTATGTTCAAAAGGGTTTTTTATCTCAGTGTATTATATTTATCATCTATTATATATATGGCAGGGTTCCTTAACTATAGAAACAATCGAAGCATAGTTAAGGAGTATAATCTGATCATGCAAGCTCTCACCGCTCGGGAGGTGTCGGCGAATACCATACATAGCTGTGATTCGTGGACGGGAAAGGTGCAATGACGAAATGAAATGGCCCGCCTGGGGCCCGGCAGGCAGATGCCCGATCCTCGTCCACCACGATTATAGCAAATACAAAGGATAATAAAATGGAAAAATAATAATGATACCTTAGATTCTGAGAATACCTGTACAATATACTACGGCACATAATATGGTGAACAACACCTACAGCATTGATGTCTAATCCACACTGAGAGAGCGAAGGAAAAAAGAACTCATCAATTCACATGCAATCAATCCCAATTCTACTACGTACAAAAAAACAGACACCCGGAAAAGCCTTTCCCGAACCAAATAATAATGATAATAATAAAAGAAGCTTAGATATCTACCTATACCTAGTGGTCCTCACCACTGATAGACTCCTTGTAGGCAGCCTCATCCAGCAGGGCATCCAGCTCAGCCGGATCGTTGACCTTGATCTCGGCGATCCAGGCATCACCCTCGGGGCTCTCGTTGATAAGCTTAGCCTTGTCCTCGAGGGCGGCGTTGCCCTGCAACACGGTACCCGAGACAGGGGAGAGGACGTCAGAGGCGGACTTGACGGACTCGACGGCACCGACGGGCTCGCCGGCTGCGACCTCCAGGTCGGCGCTGGGGAGCTCCACATAGACGACGTCGCCCAGGGAATGGGCGGCGTACTCGGTGATTCCGATCTTGGCTGTTGGGAAGGAAAGATGTCAGTACAGCTCGAGTAGTACACAGGGTGGGAGTGCGCAATTGGAGTCTTCTTGCGAGGGGTGGTGGTGGTTGCTGGGCTAGATGATGGATGCTACTTACCCGTGCCGTTGTCGGCCAGGTCAATCCACTCGTGAGACTCGGTGTACTTCTTCAACTGCGCTGTATAATAAGAACAACATCTCAATTAGCTATTCGCCATGCTACACGGTATATTTCGAGGCCATTCATGACTCAATTGGAGGAAGAAACGCACACAACGGGCTCTGCGAAAAGCTCCGGATGCTTCCCCGCGGGAAACCCGCAGCGGGCGACACCCTGCGGACGGCAGCCAGAGGGAGCTGCTGGGAGAGGGCGCGCGAGGCGAAGGGGCGGAGGCAACGGGCGACAGCGGCCATTGTGAAGGTGACGAGGTGTCGAGGGGAGAAGAGAGTGGGAATTGTAAGAGTGGAAGATGAGTGAAGGAAGATGGAAAAGGGCGGGGGAATTGTGCAAAATGACTTTATCTACTCCATCCCATGCCCGCGGAGCAGTGAGGGAAGCAACCAGGGCCCGGTTCAGTGCTAGTGGCCGTAACGGGATTAGCGCGGATTACGTACGTTTCCGACCGCTGATAGCTGTGCCAAGCGTGACTCCGATAAGCGGCTCCCGGCGTTACGGGAAAATCTCGACTTGTTGTCTGGTCAGTTATTAATCGTCGACTTTATCGTCATCCTGCGCTCCGGCATCGTCACCCGTCTGTCCTTACACGCCCGCAATTATGTTGTATGAGTTGATTGCTATTGTAAGAGACTTCTTTACCGATCTGTTCGGCGTTTCCCAATGGCGCGGTGGTCCACTAACACACTCCTTAGGTCCGTCCGGGCAGCCTCCACGAGGTCCGCGAGTACGTCTTTACCCAGCGCCCCCGACCCGCGCATATATTCTACCCTTCATCCATCAAAAGCACAAGAATTGGTATTGACACATGCTAGAATTGCCCGAAACTGCGGCCTCCAGGTTCTCCGCTCCGGTGGCGTCATCCGCGGATACACCAACTGGGGTACCTTTAGATTGCCCAAGCCCACGACGAAACATCAGGCCCGATACAACGACGGCCATCATTTCATCATGCGCTTCGACTCGTCCGGACCCGTGCAGACCTCCATCCGCCGCACGCTCGGCCTCGATCCCCGGATGATCCGCTTCTCGGTTGTGAAGCTGGGCGACAAGCTCGAGGAGATCAAGGATGTGGAGGGACATATTACCTGGAACCACGCACGCAACATTTCCGACACGATTTGAGTTGGGGGCAGCGTGGTGGAAAGCGATTTGTATTGGATGGGTCGGTTGATTAACTGCAGCGCTGCAGTTCTGTTTGGGTCTGTATTATTGGGGATTCGGAGATATCGTTTTGTATCATCATACCATTTCAGCATCGCAGGCGCATATATATGATAATCTTTTTACGTTCTTCTTTGTCATTTGCTGGGTTGCTGGACACCAACCAGTACGTTGGTTGCGTATACCCTTGCGCTTACTAGCAGGAAGTGATCATGGGACCCGCGTTGTTTACCACGCCGTTCGCACCAGGGATGCGTTGTCGGCGGGATATCTTTAGGGGGGATCGTTAATGCCATTGGTTTTATACCAGTGGTTTGCAACTGTTGACATCTCTATCCCAGCTCTACGCCTAGCGCGTACTACCAGTCAACCTGCCAAGCCATCGACATTCTTCTTAGCCAATAGATAACTAGATGAACAAAAGAAAAGACCCTGCACACAAGGTCCTTATGAAAAACCCAAGCAGCGTTGTTGAAAAGAACCTGCAAGGGCTTTGCAGTAGCTGTTGCGATCATCGACTAATTCTGATCGGATTGAAGCAAGTAAGTAGCTTTAGGAACCCCAGGAACCGACAGGGAGGAGTCCCGCAGCGGCAAATCGGCGACTGCCCACGGGGAACCTTAGTAGAACCGCCATCAACCGAGGTCCCATGATTGATCATCGATCCGCCCGTGGAGATTTAATGCCAGTATCTTCTCTTTCGCGATTATTCTGTAGTCCCAAGGGCGTTATTACAACATCCATTGCTATATCAAGCCACGAACGCCCTACAATCTTAACTACTCCACTCCCGACCTGACCCCTCAGCTTTAACCGATCCCCGGAACTATTTATTTACCCTGGTCATACCTTAATCCCACCCGTCAACACCAGCCTCAACAATTGCCGATACCGACACTATATCTCCGGACTTTATATACGGGCGCAATGACGCAGGAATCTTCAGACTCGGGAGCTATGCCCTCCCCGTCGTCTTTCGCCAATTTGATGGCCCTCAAGCCACTGGGAAATGCCGAGGTCCCGCCTAGCCAGCCTGAAAGGGTCGAGCTGTTCCAATCACTAGCAGTCCCATTTACCCCGGGGAGTCGCGGTGTAGCATTCGGAGGGCACGTCTACGCGCAGTCCGCCTACGCAGCATCCAAAACCGTTAAAGCAGGCTTCGTCATCCACGTAAGTGCCACGGCAAAGAGACGCCACCTGCGAGGGGTGTCTCACCAAAACCATGACCCAGGTACTGACCGCAAGACTAGGATATTGCCGGTACATTCATTTTACCCGGCCGCTTAGACGTTCCGTACATTTACGCCGTGCGTCATTTGCGAGACGGCAAGGGATATTGTAGCCGCGCAGTCGATGTCCGCCAGGGCGGCGAGATCTGTTTCTCGTGTTTATGCTCGTTCAAGCGGGATGAAGCACCGATAGCGGTCAGCCATCAGCCGCCACCCGTGCAGGAAAGATTCAAAAAAATTCTCGCGGCGCGGCGTCCCGAAGACCAACCGCCCAGCGTCGGTGTGGACGCAGACTTTTGGATCGAGCTTCTAGAGAGTGGAGCCGTCTCCGAGGCGCCGTTTCCGGGGCTAGACGTGCGTAAAGTTGACATGCTGGACTACAACACTACGGACGAGGTGAAAGCGGGGCCGGAAAAGTACCGTCAACTAACAATGTATTCAATCCGGGGGTCGCCCCTAGAGGAGGCGTCAGGGCTGGCGAGTCGGGAAGAGCTGAAGAAAAGGGAGGACTCGGGGGAATTCGACAACCTGTACGCCTGCGCACACATGTATTCCAGCGATAAGAACTCCTTGCTGTTGATTCCGCGTGCGCTGGGTTACAAGACCTTTGCAGCCATGGCCAGCTTGACCTTGACGGTCGTTTTCCACCAGCACGGAAAGGCCTTGCGGATGATTGACTGGGATTCAACGGAAGGGGGCGAAGAGCTTCCCAAGAAGTGGTTCATCCAGGAAGGCTGGTCGCCCCGTTCTGGGGAGAATCGCGCGATCCACGAGAGCTGGCTGTGGAGCCCGGATGGACAATTGATGGGCACTAGCTACCAGGATAGCTTACTGAGACTTGCAGGCCGCGGGGAAAAGCTATGAGCTGGACTCCACAGAGCGTTGAGGGAGATGCTTCTACCATTTGAAACTAGAGATAGATCTTATCATGTACAGACCCAATGCACAACTTGCCTTTGTTTTTTGCGGGATGTCAACTGCCTACCGAGTCTATATCATTCTGCGAGGGAAGGTTTGCCAATTCGTAAATATATATAGTTAGATCGATCCTGAGTGGGAGAGATCTCCACCCACGCCTATGATATTACCGATAGCGGCCATGAGGCTGGAGGTGGATGTGGAGAGGAAGGCGAAACAGGGTGGAGACTGGAGAGGCAGACCGCGTGGAGTTACCCAGCACGGGTAAGGCGCCCATGGTTCCATCCCGACAACTCTCTGTCAATGTCTTCCGTGCGTCTTCCTCCGATTAGTGTCGTTCTTCTCATTCGCACGGAACCACAGGCGGTCTCCTCTCCACAGCATCCAGCGCCTATCTACTGCTATTCCGGTACTTAGTACCTACTAATGAATGGTGTCAGTGCCTTTGTTGATCGGGTCGACTCCGTTCCTTTATTATCTCTCCGTCCCCACCTTCCTCAGTTCTCGGCTGTTTCCTCCGTCGAAAGATTTTAAAGTACATACCTAGGTATGTGCCCGGTTGACATCATTGTGCAACTCGTCCTTGGCACCTCTGTCGGTGCAGCCCCTGTCTGACTGAAACTTGACCTACCCTAGCCCACCGATAACCGAGAGTTCTCTTTTGTTCTCTCGGTGTTTGATTGAGCTTGTGTTCCTGGAGCTAATCATTGCAACCACAGGCGCCACCCCCACAATAACCCATAGCTCCCGCTTGTATTCGCAAGGATCTAATAAGCAAAATGGCGATCGAGATTTCTCCCTTAACCGAGGCAGACATCCCTGCAGCGATCGAAGTGATCCAGCAGGCATTTGCCGAAGATCCCTATTTCTTATGGGTCTTTGATAAAGCCCAGGTAAGTCCAAGCTTTGCCATGTGGTCTTCCACCCGCGTGGGGCCCAGATCCGCCGGCTAACATCAACCCTCGTCGAGAGTCCCGTCGACCCTTCGGGATTCGGATGAGGTGCAATAACAGTTCAACCAACAGAGGAATTATGACTCGCTCAAAGCGCGTTGTCTTTGGGGCATCGACAACGCCCTCTTCCAGGTCGCGAAAGAGGTCGACCCTGCCGGTTCGGTTCCGTCGCGTGTTGTTGGCGTTTCTTGCTGGATGCGGCCCCATTCCCCCTCGGAACCAGAGAGCTGGACCAGCTGGCTGCAAGGGTGGGTGCTGTCGTACCGCCAACTGTTGAACAACCTGTTTCACTGGGGTCGCGGTGGGCTCATCTCGCGCCGCTACTGGATCTGGAAGGAGCGGCAGAATGAGGCCCAGACCGCCATCTGGGACGACCCGCGGGGGTATTACTTCTGCAACATCGTGGCTATCAGCCCCGACCAGCAGGGGAAGGGGATTGGACGGTTGTTGTTCAAGGCGGTGGCCGATATCGCTGACCAAGAGGGCGCCAAGTGCTATCTGGAGAGCTCGAGGAATGAGCCTAATGTGCAGATCTATGAGAAGATGGGGTTCGAGCTGAGACGGGAGATGGAGTGTCGAGATGGCGACGATGTTTGCATGGTACGTGGCCCGTAAAGCAGTATGCCTTCACTGGCTGGGTTCGTTGTCCTGCTAATCACCGTGGCTGCAGCTTTATTGCATGGTTCGAGATCCCAAGACCTAGATTAGAGCCAGGATGCTTGTTCACTACAGGAGGTTGCATTTGAAGGTGAATCGCGGCATAACTAGGGCGCGAGGTTGTCAGCACTTATCGGACTCCTGACATATGGACACAGTGCTTGTTGCAATATTTGACAAATGGAATACTACCTTTGTTTCAGACCCATGGCCTAAGAGGTATGTCTACCTCTCCGGTTCACATAGTATGGCTTGGCTGCAGAGGTTTCAGTATGACCAGCTGGTAAAGAAATGGCGGGATGCAAAGCGGAAAATGACAGAGAAAAATCGGAAGGGAAAAAGGACAAGAATAAAAAAGAATATAAAAAAAAAATCAAAAGAAGAAGAAGAGGAAAGCACAAAAAGAACAATTACAAGGGGCACCAGTCCAATGCACGAGTTTAGTGACGCCTTGACATCGAATCGAAGAAAACGGTTGGTGTATCTTCCAAGAAGTCGAAAGTGTCGTGATGGAATGCCCACCCGGACTCCGGTGGTATAGACGTTCTCGACTAGAGTCTGGCTGGTTTCCGCTCTCGCAGAGCTCCACGATAAAGCCCCTTAGTTACTTTTTACTTTGGATTGATGACCCTGTCCCATCCAAACAGACAAATAGTCTTACGCAAGCAGATCCCGGGTTCCACCTCTTCTCCACCATAGACACGCGGGAATCAAAGGGAGACGGGTGGTACTGGTATCAGGTCTTGTTTTGGAGGAATAATTCTCTCACAGCCATGTTACAGGTGACGTTCCAGCCTCTGACAAACTTCCACAGAACTAATTACGAAGCACACGGGGCAGACGGCGTGGCTTTCACAGTAGAACCATGGGATTCCCAAAAATTGGCGTCCATGCCCCATTAGCCCGACTTGGCCCCCATGATACGAGTCAGTGTCCCGATCACCGTTTCGAAAATCCTCTGGAGGAGTCCTCTCTGGTGGCACCTTGACGAACTCGCCTATCGTATCGTCCACAAGAGGATGGCAAAGGAGATCTAACGGGAAGAAGCTTTGCAGGCTTTGCCGAACAACGGCCCTCATCGCTATGGGCCTCCTCGTTTCCAGTCTTAGTCCTATCCTATACTGACTAGTTATATGCGGCCTCTTGACTTATGAAAAGTTTCAATACATCTGTAACTGTTTTGGACGAAGGTCCCATTCACCACAGTACTCGACTGGCTCCAAGCCCCTTGTCAAGCAAACAGCGGACTAGATATCTCGAATATCACAGCCATCCTTCTGCCCACAACGATCTACACGGAACAGTCCCTGCTCGCCTCTTAATGCGGAAACATTCCCTTCTCCGAGTTCCGGCGTGACATGACCAGTACAGGCTGCAACGCCATGTCCCTAAAATGCACGGTCCAATGAACCAGCAACAAGCAACCAAACCAACCAGCAACAGGAAGAACGTCCGCCCCCAACCGAGTAACCGAGATTTCGCACGTCATCTTCCCCAACAGAAACACATCTAACGGCCTCTCCGGACAAGCCTACGAGACCAAGATCCGGACAGATCCGCTTCCTGGCCGGGTTGATATCCCAGCCACTCTTAGCCCCGAGCAAAGCAAGTCTTGTCTTCCCGCCTGTAAGAGGCAGGGCTGCCATCCAGTCTGATAGGCAATTCGGGACGCAGATCGCAAACCCGCGATCGCCGAGGGCTAAATTTCCCCTGACACCCACACACGAGGAATCCTACCACTAGTCCTGCTGGCGGTTTTAAACAGCCTATGATGGGGGTGTCGGTGTGTGTGTGTGGAAGACAGCATCGTAGTTTGCTGGCCGCCCGTCCCCCCACCTCTGGAAGGAAGAAAAGAAAGGAGAGGGAATCCTAATAGGAGAGGAGGGATGAGTCGAGAGACCTAATATGTGCAGCGTGTGGCACAGGAGGCCCACTATTTCAGCCAAAACGCAGAGACCAGATTGGAAGCCCAGATGGCACTGCCCACGGATATATCGCGATACCATTTTGGGAGAAAGAAGACACCGTGCGATCCACAGAAAATGATTTTTTTTTCCTTTTTCTATGCCCTTTTTTTTTTAATCTTACTGCCGCCGTTTCGCACGCTCCTTTACCGTTACAAGTTCATGTCTCGCTACGAAACAGAGATACCTACCACACGCTAGACATTTCCCCCCCTCTGATGTCGCATATGCCGTCTTCTAACCGCGGACTGCAGCTCCCATAACCGCATAGGTCTTTGCACTGCCCAGTGACCGGCCGATTGATTAATAGGCATTAGCAACCTGCAGTCGTCAGAAACACTGGACACTTCCGTGCATGCAAGCACGCAACCAATCGGGGGGTAGGAAGTGCAGTCGCGAGGAGAAGAGCGGGAGAGTTTTTTTCGTGACCCCGCAGAGGGTATGGATGGCTGTTGTCCTGTCGTTGTCGGACTAGTGCTTGATACTAAAGGGACTATTGGATTTTGACATGTATCCGCGATCTGGGGGATGTAAAGGTGGACACTTGACGGGTGGTCTGGCGGAGGTGTTTCGATTACTGTAGAAGGTAAATTAGAGTATTCATGGCAGACTTATTCTTAAGGAGGTGGATAATTATTGTTTACTAACTGCTGATAGTCTTTATAGCATACCTACTATGTACGTAGATTGTTCACACCAGGGTATGTGTCTTTGGGAATATCAACCCGATATAATGGCCTGTTTTGGCTTAGTGTAGATAAAAACGAGAAAGGGTAGAAGAAGCGATATGGGGTTAGAAATATTAGGAATGTCAGCTACGGATATACTATACCTAAGTGTGTCTTCCCTATAGAAGTACAGAATATTTAAACAAATAAAGCCACTATAAAACCAAACCGGACCGGAAAAGCCCGCAGCTAACTACCACCTGCTGCAGCGATGACACCTGGTACCGTAAATTTAAAATGAAAAGTTTGATAAATATCCAATGGGGTGAATTTCGAAGGTTCTCCCAATGTGTTAATCGCTAGTAGAAATACGGTGTAGGTGGAAAATTCACCGCTTATTACCTGCCTGCCTATGCTGGTAGGATTCCAAGACGCAGACGCGCCCAAGTGAGTAAGATCTACCTACTATTGTATCTTTAGTGCTCGTTATCAAGTAGGTTCCGAGGACGCACACTTCAGTAAATAGTGTGGTTTGATTGGGATAAGACCACCTTTTGAAGTCCAGTGACTATATATTTGGATAGTTAAGGGCTCCTAAAGATATCTCTAGCGAAAATTGATCAACTGTGATCAATTCGCTAAGCTAGCCAGGGATTTACAGGGCTGGTAATTTGTCGCGGGTATCTGCCACGAGTCTCGTGGGCTGCGTTTTCTTTTTTCATTGGGTTTCTTTTGATGATTATTCTTTTTCCTGGACAGAAAGGAGCAATGCCTGAGTAACGACAAGTTCAGTGCTTATCATTTGCAATTGCATCCCTATCCTTATAGATACTGGAGTGTAATGAAATTATCAGCATATCATGTGTATATGGAAAACGGCGAAGACTGTAGAGAATATACATACATGAACAGGGTAAACTCTAAACACACGCTATATACCCAGGAGATAAAACAACAGGCTGATGAATATACTGATCCAGAATAAGAAGTACTCCAAGCACCTCAATGGATACAACAGTAGCACAGTATTACCCTGAGTTCAGCGTTTAGGTCAGTTGAGTGGAGTCTGTCGCGTGGTCAGTGACGTGACGAGGTTCCATCACTCTATCACTCCATCACTCCATCACCAAATCCAGGATTCAGACCTGAATCGGAGTTGATGGAGGTGGCCTGTGATACGTGCGTTTATCGGGCGGACACTGTTGTAGTACCTACCTTATGATGTATGTGGGTTTGGGTTTGATTGGTTTCATTTCTTGGTTTTTATTGTATTTGATTTTACAATCTACACCTTATCATTAGTTGATTCGTTAAAACCTGTTTATATCAATCTTTTTTCTTGTTTTTCTTGCCGATTGTTTCATCAGTGTTATTAGCTGAGGTATGAAATAAGAAAATATTGAACAACAGGCTTCTATCACCTGACTTTTCATCGCGGATAGAATGTTATATAAAACTGATGACAAGAAAAGGGAAGCATTCTCAAAATAAGCAAACGAAACAGCTGATTAGGATCAGATAAAAATAGGCCGAATGCCGGCTCCTGCTTAATCGTGCAGAAAAAAAAAAAAAAAAAAAAAACGACGAACTGCCCAGGTCGTCACCCACCTACCGACTATTGCCTAGAGTAAACAACACTATGCAAGTCCTACCCTAACAAGGCCCCAGCCAGCCGGTCAGCCGGCAAAATCTCGCAATCTGATTGACTAGTCGATCCGTGATGATCGTCTGGCCCAAGGCCCTATGAAAGCCGTTCCCTGCCGGGTGCGTCGACATGAGGTAATTCGAACGAGGGATGGACGGGGGTTGTGCCGTGTGAAGGTCTCAATACTAGTCTACTGAGTCGTGAGTACCCTCCCAATCATCAGATGGCCTCAGCCGTCAGGTAGGTGTTGTAGATCGGCAGTGCGTCAAACACAGCCGGAGCAAACCATTGATGATCAGGCCTGACGTTGCTCCTCTGTCCGGCAATCTACCCTAGCGTGCTTTTCGTGGCCGGGGTGGGTAGTGGTACCCGCTTTCTATCGGTAGGTCGTTGATAGACCCTGGATAGCTTGGACAACACGGATTTGTCATTGGGAAAGAAGAGGGGGTAGGTGTTCTCGTGCCGCGGTATCTGTTGCACCGGTTGATTCGAGGTGGATTTTGTTTGGATTCGGTTGGAAGTATTACGGACTCAATAAAAACTAGGTTGGAAATTTAAGTTTATGGTATACTAGAAATTCAAGGGAAAAGGAAAGGGCAAAAAAAAGATTTTCGCAAAAAGAAGAAAAAATAGAAGGAAAAGGAAAATATCGGCCATCCACTAATCATTCTTTATAGAATTTCCACTAATTCCGTCTGCCATGATACCCTGTCAGGCATTCTGCCCTATAAGCGCCATACGGGTATCCATGAATCTGTAGACAACCAGACCGCCATTCACAAACCCCGGGATACAAGAGTGGTTATATTGGCACAGAAAAAACCGTGAATTTAACAGATTTTCTTCCATGAAAAAAACACGGACACAAGGATAGACAAAAAAATAGAAGAGGGGCAGGCAGTCATTAAAGGTATAGATTGCGAACACAGGAACCAACGCATCCGTCTGCATCGTGCGTGCAGACTCGGCCCGAGAGTGGACTAAGGCGCCAGTAGACTTTCCTAGCACCATGCGACTCCTACTCTTTGTGTGTTTTTATTTGGATCTAACAACCGCGGCGTATTATATACGGAGTACGGAGCACTCCATAAGTTTTGTATTGTCTGGGGAATAGTGGGGATCGTGATGGGCAGTAAACGAAAGATAGTCTATCTCTATTAGGGTTATCCCCCTCTTCCTTCCCGCTTTTCTTTACTATAGTGTCTTAACTATACTTACTTTGCCAATACCCAGTGGTTTGACACTGCCTATCAAGTCCTTTGGCAGGATCCAGCCCGTGCATGCAGCAATCCCTGATTAGCGGGCAGCAACCTCAGAACTATTTGTTTCTTTGGTCCAGTGTCATCCATCCTTTTCTAGTTCTAGCGAGTGTGTAACCGTAA